GCTGAACCAGTGGGCTGCTGGCCCTGAGGTTTCCTGGGACTCTTGCCTGTGCTGGCCTCTTAAAAATTCACATCACTTTTCCCTTCCTCCATTCCTGATTTGAGTATTTGTTAACAGAGCAGTGTTAGCAGTTTGGTGTGAGTAGTGTGGGTTTTCTGTTGACTTGTTCTTTTAAACTCTTGGATGAATACCATCTGGTCCTGACACCTTTTAGAAGAAATTAGTTGAAATAAATTGATTAACATCTTCCACTGATAATGCTTCAGATTTTGCCACATGGAGAGGTTCTGTTGGTGTGAAAATCTCCCATAAATATCATGTTGTGAGTGCTGGTGCAAGACTTCATTTAGTTCTTCTTTCTCAAATGTTCTTCCATAGTGATCATCTTTTGGCCCTACAGACTTTTTAGCAGACATCCTGATTTTGCTGTGTTTGAAGTCTTGAGTTTGTAAAGTTGTTCCGCAGCCTTTTTTTGGCTTAATTATGGTTTTAATTTAGCTTGGTCTAGCTTGCTGTCTTTTTTTCTTTGCTTGAAGGAATAATGTCCAGTTTTTGAGTTGGGTGGTGGTTAGTGTTATTTATTTATTTTTTTTAAACTTAACTATCATTCCTTTATTCTGTTCTAAAATCTTTTGCCAATATTCTTTAGGCTTACAATGAGCCTCTGATACAGTGTCTTTACACAGTCTTAATGCCACTTGCAAGCATTTAATTTATTTAGCTTTTATTTTAATATCCTTTTAACAAGCTTTTTTCTTTTAGGCAGCTCCCTCTTGTTAGTTAAATATTGCCACAGTTCTTTGGAAGGTGTTTTTTTTTTTTTTGTTGCTGTTGTTTTGTTTTTCTTTTTTTTTTTTTCTTTTTTGTTGCTCCTGCAAGGAAACTGAATTTGAGTACAGTGCAGAACTGTTCTGTAATATTGATAATGATCACACTGTGCTGCTCTAGGTCTAAATCACAAACTGTGCTGCCTCTTATAGGTTGTCCTCAGAAAAGAGTATTTATGGAATCCAAAAATGCAGTCTCTGCATCATCCCTGTCATGACGCTTACTTAGCCTGCAAGGACATTGTAGAAATTTCTCACTGTTACATTTTTTTCTGCCTTTGCAGCATCTCTCTCTTTCTATCTTTTAACACTTTAATTGACCTTCTGGGTTTTGTGATCTCCTCTGTCAATATTTGTGCTTACTTTTGGAATTTTATAGGGCTTCTGTATTCCTGTTGCTGACTCTTAGTTTTCTTTAAGGTGGAGACCCACGCCTCAATCGATCATTCATTTACAATTTTTATGCTGATACTACACTGATTATCTTCCTTCAGCAGACTCTTAGTATATAAAAAGCTAAACTTAAATTAGACATCCCATTTTCCATTTCAAGACTTCGGGTACATTTACTCCATCATATTAGCCGCGTGCTCTTGATTTTGTTGCCTGTTCTTGCATGCACTTGAATCTTGAATGTGATGTTGTTGGGACGGGTCCTTGACAAAATTCAGGTAGGAAATACATTCCTTCTATCCTTTATCAGCCTTCAAAGAATAAGTCATCTGAACAGTGCACTCTGTAGTTGTTGGCTTCCCTGGTATTCTGTTAAAAATTACCCTAAAGCCTTCTTAAAATAAAGTGCCAGCAGCCTGGTTCCTGAGGAGAGATTCTTGGAGATCAGGACAGTGTTTGTGTGTTTTGGGTGTGGGGATGGTGAATAACGTGCTGAATTTTGGGAACTACCTATCTGTATAGGTCTTCAAGAGCTTTCGGCTTGTACAAAGGTTGGAGATGCTAATTCATATGCTGGTGGGAGGGACTGCACTATGAACCCTAATGACTGATTGTCTGTCTAAGGAGGGTAGCGCAGACAGTTGCAGACTGTAAAAACCTTGTTTTTACATTGCTTTATTTTCCCAGCCCTGATGTGAGAGGTGTGGAGAAGGGAGAAAAGTTATGTTTCCATTGCTAAGGCATCTTTACATTTTCTGGTTAACTGGTTACAGTGTTACCTGTTGGGCTGATAGTGATGTGGGCACTGGCCTGGTGAGAACCAGGATAAAAAAAAAAAAAAAGTTGCCTTTTCTGTGCAGCTGCAGACATTTCCCTTGTGCAGAGGAGGGGAAGGCATGCAGTTTAATGAAGCTCTGAGTTTGAAGCCTCTAAGCCAGTTGATAGTTGTGCTCTGTGGTAGTCAGTGAATCTCAGGGGTCAGTGGCAGTGCAGGGGAGAGCAGCTCTGACTTACTGGGACAAGAGGCTGGGGATAGGCCATGTCTGAACAAAGTTGAGCTCTGGCAAGTTTAGTCCTGTGTCAGAGGCTGCCTGTGCCATGTGGGTGTTGGGAAGGTTTAACTTTCCTAGTAGTTTCTTACATTTCTTCCTAAGCTCTTTCAGTCCTTGACTTGCTAGACGGGACAGCACAACTTGTCTGTCCTCAGTCCATTTAACCAAGCCCTGAATATTCTCATTCATGGCAGTGCCCTGAACCAGTGGGGTACATCTTTAATTTCTTGGTGACTCTTCCTACTGACTCCCTGGGATGTCCCAGCACCAAGAATGAACTTGGAATGGATGTGTGTTGCTGATCCTGACCCAGGTTATTCCAGGTCTCAGTGGAGAGCACTGTTTGACACAGAAATTTGGCCAGACATGATTGAAAGTTATTTGTTTGTATACTAAATAGGGTGTCTGAGTCTAGCAAGTAACTCTGAAACATAAGCATTCTTCCTGTCTCAAAATTCCACCAGCTGGATGGATGAGGGAGTTAGTTTGTGGAGAGTTTTCTGGGACTGTATGGCACAAGCTGATTTTTTTTTTTTTTTTTTTTTTATCCCAACTACCAGATATGGCACCTGAAGTGTGTTTGTTCTGTGATCTTCATCCTGGCTAGTGAGTGAGTCTTCCAAAATGAGTCCATCAGCATCCCAGAAACATGGAGATATGACAGAGAAAGTATGCAGAAGGCACAAAGAGTTTTTGCTGGAAGGCAGTCCAGGCAACATGTCAGCTCATGCTCACAGGGCTCCTGGGTCATTCTGCTCTGTATGCTGGCACGCTTGGATGTGATTTATGGGCAGCATAGTCCTCGCCTTTCTTAGTCATTGCTTTTCATACCTCTAGAGTAGTAGACCCTTTTCAGGGACTGTGAAGACACTGAGCACTGCAGAATCCTTCTGTAGGTCAGCAGTTGGCTTGTGGTGCTATCTTGCTGTTCAGTCATTAGTGAGGCAGAAACACCTCTGGTCCATTGTCCTGGGACAGTGGGTCCTGGTGGTATTAATTAGTTCATATTGATCTAATGTTTCCTATAAGGAAACAGTAAATACAATGGGCTTAATTTGACTATAGCCTCATTTCCACATTTTTCATACTCCTACCTCCTCTCTTATTGTGATGAGGGCAGTGGCTCTATAGAGGCTATATTGGTGTAGCATAAATAGGTGGGATTTTTTTTATGCTGCTAGTCTGTATTGGTTCAGTTAGCACTGTTATGGTAATATTACCACTTTCTTGGCTCCAGGCAAATGGTACAGGCTGCAAAAGAGATTGGAAAACTCTTCAAACAAGAATGAGAATGGCTGCACGGCTACTGGGCATCTCCCTTTCTTGGGTGTTTTCTCAGTCCTTCTATCTGTTGGACGCTCTTGTGTGTGCCTTGTCATTGTCCATGACAGCAAACAGACTTAGATTAGGAAACAGCAAAAATGAGGGTGTGGCTAAACAAAAAAATTGCTTTTGCCCCAAACAGGGGTGAGTGTGCAGAGTCTTGAAAACAAGCAAGAGTTGAGCTCAAGCATGGCTCTTTTCCTGATGTCTGAGAGGGTTGCAAGTGCTGAGAAGGGCCAGGTGAACAAGGAAATACACAGTGCTTGGGAGCCAAACAGTGACTGAAAACACAATCACAAACAGTGAATCACAAAGGAGGGGGAAAAGTGGCTTTTGTAGGCTCCTCTTGTGTTTAGAGTACTCACAAATGTGCTGAGTGCACTTTGGTTCCCACTTTGACAAGTGTGCTCCTAAGCACCAAAGCAGCTACTTCTTCTCTCTCTCATTTGAGGATGGCACTGAAGGCCTGTGCCACCATCAGTCCCACTTACCAGTATGGCAAAGCCTGTGCTGCTACAGTTCCTTGTTGCTGTCCTGGTGAAATAGCTGTGGAGTTGAAAGCTGTAATGTTCTCACTAAAGTGTGTGCTGCCACTGCAGGAGCTCCTCAGCTGGACATGTGGGGCTCTTAGCACAATAAAGGCCAGAGCTGCAGGGGTTTCTTGTTGCAGCCCTTCAGAGACAAGCATTTTATCCAGGGGCAGTTGTCAAGTCCCATCACACAACCTTGATGTTTAGGATATGTGCTGTCAGTACTTTTTCACTCTCAACCTTGATGCTTTTCTATGTTCTTCTCATGGTCATAGGGTGAGCCTTGTCTTGGGAAGGGGCTCGTTTAGCAAACAGTGTCATGAAGTGGCTGAGCCAGATTAATATCTCACTCATTAGGAGTGGGCAGGTTTCTGTCTCCACCCTTGAGTGTGTCTGGCTGGAAAATAAGTTGATTGAACTCATTAACCCAGCAAAGAATTGTAGGCGGTTTTAAGGGTCTTGTTTTCTGCCATTTTTAATGAACAAAATTGGATTACCAGGTGATCAGGCCAGCACCACAGCAGGTGCAAGGTAAGGAATAGGATGTGTGTGTGGACAGGAACATATATTCATGGGAGAGAACAGGGGAAGCGAGACCTCCACTGTGGAGGCAGGTATTCATTCTGCTCATTCTGTGCTTGCCTTTAATATTCTGACAGTGCACTGGGGGGACCTCTCTTAATGGCCTAATTGCAATGGGTAGCTGGCTTTTATCTCTTAATTGTTAGGTGGTAAAGGAGATTTTCACCTTGGTTGTGAAATTGGATTAGGTTCATTTGAGACTTTACTGGGCATCGGGGGGCTGAGCTGTGGAGTGGTGTCAGTGTTGTGGTTCCATGTCACGCCTCTGTGTTTCCCCTTTCTGTCCTGCTCAGCTTGGCATTGCTGTGGGCTTTCTGGTTCCTCCAGTTCTGGTTCCCAATGTGGAGGATGTGGAGAAGCTGGCCTACCACATCAGCATCATGTTCTTCATGACTGCAGGTGTGGCAACAGCCCTGTTCATCCTGGTTGTCATAGGTAAGGAGGTGGGGGCATGCACATGATACCAAGTGGGACTGAGAAGATCTGTCTGTGTGTGAGGGGCCTGTGTGCTAGGAAGTGGGCCGGGGAGGTCATCTGGGGATGTGTCCTAGCATGCAGCTGGCCGGGTCATGTAATACTAGATCTTGCTGCTTCAAGCCCTTGATGAACAGCACGTGTAGAAGAGAGTATAAGAGGTTGTGAATGAGCCTGCCAAATTGTTCATTTCATCCTTTGATTGCCTGTGTAATAAAACTCTGTCACGAGTAAGTCTTTTAAAAGCCACGAGAAATCTTAGGTTCAGTCATCTTGCCTGCAAACAGGGTGCTGGGCCTTGGATTATGTCTTGGACCTGACTACTTCTTAAGGGTAGGGTTAGAGGCAGGTTATATGGCATCACAGGAACAAGCTGTTCCCAGGAGAAAAAAAGGTAACCAGTTATGAGTGGAGAGAAGGAAGCATTAAGGGCAGTAGCAGGACACTAGAGGTGCAGTTCTCCTGCTTAACACGTAAAGTGGAAGCCAGATTTTTAGTATGAAAGATTGGCATGCTCGCTGAAGAGCAGAGCTTGTCATCTGAACTCCATGTAATTTATTTTTCATAGGCTCCTCTTGCCAGCTTGTTCATGTTGCCTGGTGGCTGAATCAGATGTAGACTTTGAAGAATCTGGGGCAGGGAATAGACGAGGTACGAAAATGGCTGTATAGCACCTGGTACAGCAGTATTGCCTGGGACCGGGATTTCTGGATGCTAGTTTAATGCTAACTAGTTAGGGACAGCAGATGTGTTGGCCAGCCTAAGAAATGCCAGGCCTGAAATAAAACCTGGCATAGGGCATTGCTCCCTTGGCACTGGGCACTACAGGGCACCAGGCCACCTTTGCCAGCTGACTTTTCCCATTCCACTTTTACATTTGTAACTCCACACAACACTTTTACATCTGGCTGGCCATCCTCTTGGAGACAAAGGCATTATTAGTCCTGAGAACTCTCTTGTTGCTGACAGACACTGCCCACACAGAAAGCTAATTGAAGGCAAGGTGTTTCCCCACTGGCAGGAATTATTGTTGGAGAGACCCTGTTCTCTCCTATTTCTGGATAAGTTCATGCATGGAGATCAAAGCTTAAGGATGATGGTGAGTTTTGTACACTTGGTTTTACTAGTCCCTTTGCAATCCCTCAAATGTCTCTACCCACAGTGTGTGCTCAGGCTCCTTTATTGCACTGTTATAAACAGGTGTATTTTATGTCTGGTTTCAGTCTTCAAGAAGAAGCCCCCTTACCCTCCAAGCCGAGCTCAGGCCTTGATCCAGTCAAGACCAACAGAGGAGTATTCATATGTGCGATCAATCCTCCGTCTGCTCCGCAATGCCAACTTTTTGCTGCTTATGGTCACTTACGGTAAGGTCTGGCCTTTCTTCTGTGCAGTTATCACTGCTAAACATGCTTAGCTTCTCCCTCCTTCTCCATGCTCTGCTGAGGCAGTAACTGGCCTGAGTTATTTTAGGGGAGCGTAAGAATAGCTGTGCTGCCACAGAGCAGGAGTCTTTCTAGCCAGTAGTGGTAACAAGCAAGTGCCTAGGGAAGAAGAAAAAGCAAGGCAAGCACACAGAGGAGAATACACCCCCACTACTGTTCTCCCAGTCTTTATCTGTTTTCTGTTCAGGGGATTTCCTTACCCTGTTGTCTTTTTTTTTCCTAGTCAGTTAGTTACTTGCAATGAACTAATCTAAGTACTAACTTAAGAAATATATGGAGCTGTGTCTGAGTGCAAGTCACAGCACAGAGTGACAGTAATTTCTCAAGGCAAGGGTATGGCTGCTAGGCATCCCAGTGGAGGTCAGGTGGAGCATGCAGATGTGCAGACTGCATCGGCCTCCTTGGGAGTCCCCATGAAGCAAATGGAAGGAAGGATTGGAGAACATCTTTTGCCATCTCTCCTTGCACACTGGGTTTGCTGCTTGCTTCTCTTCAGCAGTCTTGGTCTGTTTCTGAGGGCAGCATGGTGTGTTGAATCTGTTCCTGATGCTGAATTGTTGTATGAAAAAGGTATTTTTTTTTTCTTTAGGAGAAAGTCCACTGCAATCTGTGCCTGGCTGCATAATAGGATATACTGTAGCCAGCTAGTCTGCAGGGAGTTCTGTCCTCATTTCCTACCAGCTTGCTGTGGAAGCTCCTTGGGGGGGAAGTTAAGTAGTGCAGGAAGTTCTGCCCTCCTGCCAGCAGTTGTGCCTAAAGGACCTAGTAGTAGCCAGGTTGGAGGCAGTGGCTTTGTATCTGCTGAGGGTGCTAATGGTCTCTGGAGTTGCTGAAATATCTTCTCCCTTCTCAGTGCAGTAGTCCTAGAAATGCCCCTCTCAGATCACCCTTAAGCTCTGGTGGTTTGCACTGCAGCTGCTGCATTGTTTGTTTTTTGGTGGTGTTTTTTCTTTTTTTTTCCCCCCCATAGTACACGATGTGCTCTCAGAAAGTGGAGATAGAAGAAAAACTGTCAGGCAGAGTGTCTAAAAGTTGGATTTTGTCATTTGCTCAGTTGACACCCTTCAAGGAAAAGAAAGGGAAAAGCAATTGTTCTAATGGGTGTAAACAAGTCTTAGAGGAGAGAGGAGGGCTCCTGGTATGAAGAGCATGTTTAGAATCTGACCTGTCTGGGATAATCTCTTCTGGCAGTCACAAACAATGTGGAAAGGCTGTTCAGTGGCTCCTCGTTCAGTTTCTCTTCCTGCTGTCTGTGCATTTATTCTGTTCCTTTCTGTCAGCCTCATGTCAGTCTCCAGTTTGACTTGAGATGGTGCCTGTTACTCAGAGAGGGAACTGTGCAGTGAAACTTTTTTTTTTAACTAGTCTGGCTTTAAAATGGGGACGGTTTTTCCTACTCAAGTCAAAAGTTATGTTGGTCAAGATTTAAGACATCTGCAGCCACATAAGTGCAACTGAGTCATCCTCCGTAGCTAACACAAAGCTACCTGCAGCCTCTCTCAGCTTTTATATTATCATAGTATGTGTCAGGGGAGAGAGAGGGAAACCTACTGCTTATTCATCTTCCCTGGTTGTAGAAAGAATGGGGGCCCTTACATGATGACAGGTCAGAAGAGGTCTGCAGACCTCTAAGGTCTTGGTATTACCAGCAGCTGTCAAATCCTTTCCTGTGGTAAGACTTGCAGTTCTGGGAACACTGGTAGCACTGCAGCTATGTTAGTGCTAGTGAACTGTTCAGGAAAACCCTTGAACAGCCTTTTCCCAAAGGCTGCTGATGCTGCTTTCACAAAGCCGAGGCATAACATGGAGTGGACATTCAGAAACTTTGAGTTTACTGGGTTGGGCTCTGCACTGGAGAGCATGTTGCTACTGGGAGGCAGTAGGCAGGAAAAGGGCGGGAAAGCGTGAGAAAGACTGATAAAGTGGGAATGATGAGACAGCCCCAAAGAATCAGCGTTTGGAAAGGTGATGGGGCAGTGATGAGGAGGCAGGGCAGTGAGATCTGCATAAGGAACCATTGTCCTGGAGGATGACAAGGGTGAAGAAGAGGGAGACCAGTAGTCTGGCATGTAGGCAATAGGTTGCTTAGCTATAGAAGACTTGGGCTCTAGTCCGAGGCTTAGTAAGGACTCCTTTTGGAGCCATAGACAATAAACTTCCCCTTTCTGGCCTCTGTAAAACAGAGGAGACACTATGAAGTCTCAAAAATGTTCTTCTACAGCACATTACAAGCAAACCATGGTAACTAGATAATGAATCAGGTGGGGCTGGTCCTTCACATTTCCTGCTCCCAGCCTCATTTGCATGGACAAATGGGCACTGCCACGTTGGAAACAACACTTGCCTGTTTTATGGGTGTTCAAACAGCTGTAATTCACAAAGAAACTTCACTGAGCAACTGTGACATATGAAATGCTTACAACTTTTGTCAACCCTCACAAATGCAAATTTGGCACATTGTCTTGATTCTTAGAATATTTTGCCTGACTGATGCCAAGTGTTGCTGCCAACTCTGCATCACTTTCTGCCCAGCTTGGGAGCAGGGGCCATTCTCTCTCTTGGAAATCGCATGTATCGCAGAGCTGCTGTGAAGCTGGCGTGTTAGCAGCATCAGCTACCAGAGCAGCGTCTGGATGTCCCCACAAGGCTGCCATCCTCTTGGCTGGGCAAGAAGTAGCGGTACACAATTGACCGGTCTATGTTTATGCCCTGCTTTGAAGTGAAGTAGTAGTGTGTAGAGGGATGCCACGCTCCCATGTCCTCGCACTGCAGTTTGTGGTGTCTCCTAATGAGCAAGGTGCTCTAGAGGTGGAGATAGGGTGAAGCTGAATTAGGCTCTTGGGGGCTGTTTTGCCATAGCCAAGTGTTGCAAAGACCCAACTTACCAGGCTGGAGGGTGCCTCCTTGCTGTGGGATCTCCAGTTGTTCTTCCTCCCTCTCTGTCTGCTGGCCCTGCTGCAGTTCCTGGCCTTCCTGAGTAACTCTTGGAAAGGATTGGGTGGATTCCTCCTGTCTAAAGAGCATGTTACTCAGTTTACTAGCCTTTCCTGTAACCTCCTGATACATGCTTCTGGAACAGGGAGAGTTGTCACAGGCATTGGTTTAATTGGGATCACTTGCATAAGAATTTTCATCTGTTCTCTGTGCCATGAAGCTGCGGAGCGAGCTTTACTTAATGTTGGCAGAGATGGTGTGTGAAGGTGTGATGTCTCTTCCAGCTGCCAATCTTGTGGCTCCTTAGAGTGCTTCATGAGCTGTGTAGGGCAATGGGTATCTCGTGTCCCAGTGGAGGAGTGGGCTAGGTGCAGGGTCACTGAGTACTTCAGGGTTAGGGGAGCTAGAGGACTTCAGGGTTTTGTTCCCTTTGTCAAAACTTTGCCTGCTAGACTGCACTTCTGTATCCTGTATTGCGATGTTTCTGCTTTTAGCTGAGGCTGAAAGAGGAAAAGTAGGAAGTGGGAACTTGACATGTATCTGTTCTGTCAGGATTTCAGGCATCTGTGCCAGTTTTTAAACCCATTCCTCCTTATGGAGCCTATAGATGTGTGAGCTGCAGTGGTGAAATCTGTGTCCCCATCCCTCCCCCCGTCAAGATCATTGAAGCCTTTAAGAGAAACTAACTGCAAATGTAAATGACTTTCTGAGAAGAAAGTTGTGCTGACTGTTACAGACCTCATACACCTGGGGAAGGTTTCTCAATATTGCCCAAGGTGAAAGTGTAGCCATTGCAGTACTGCGGGTCCAGCACCCATGTGAATGTTCTTGTCTACTATAAGCAAAGCTCTTGGTTTTTGTGGCCTTTGGGAAGGCATTTTACTCAATTGGAGTTGCACGTGTGCTGGAGCAGTGTCTGAATGGGGCTTGACCAGTATCAACCCAACAGTTTCCATTCTCACCTTGGGTGATACTGAGAAACCTTTACCAGGTGGCTGATGCCTGTAACAGTTAATCTAACTTCCCTTTCAGAACGACAATTACTTTCACAGTTGTATTTTTTTTTTTTTTTTTTTTTTTAGGCTTCAGTGATATCTTTTAAATGCAAGACTTTTTCCATGCAGAGACACACACCAGGTGCCTGGAGGAAGTGCTGTCTGCTTCACCATCATCTCTGCTCCTACTTGCCTTCTGGTGTTTCTTGGCTTGGAGAGGATGGTTTTTACTGGCTCTCAGCAGGGAGAGTGATATCAGGCTCTTCTCTAGGAGGAAACCGTACAGGTCAATGGCACTGGTGTTAATTGAATCCCAGGTCCTTATTAAAGGTGTGATGCTGAGGCAGGTGCTTTTCTAGTATTTTTACCTTGTCTGGGGGGGAGGAGAGAACTCCAATGCTAGACATGGATCTGGCTGTGAGGAAGAGTTGAGATGCTATGAAGGACTTGTAAGACATTTCTGTACTAGAAATGTGCACAGCCCTTCTGGCTACTAAGGTAAGAACTGTTCTGAAACTGCAGGGTGCTTCCTCCTGCATGCTGAGATCCAGCTGTCCTTGGTCTGCATTTCTTTCAGTGACCTATATCTGGCCAGTCTAACTGGCTCTTCTGAGACTCTGTAGCCCTGTTAGGGATCTCTGCTCCCAAAGATATATTCCTCTGCCTTTCTACCCTTTCACCTACCCATCAGGAGAGTAACAGGCTCTGAATGTGCTGCATTTTTATCCCCCTCTCAGGTCTGAATACAGGTTGCTTCTACGCCCTGTCCACTCTGCTGAACCGCATGGTGATCCAACACTACCCAGTAAGTGTGTCCAACCTTCATGGCCCTCTGATACTTGCTGTTGTCCAGTGCTGGCTGCCAGAGGGGAGTCTGTGAGAAAGGCAATGTCACACCACAGCATTTCTGTCTGGCTCTGGCACAAGTTGGCTGGCTGGCAGGAGAGCATTGGTTCATTTAGTTCTTTACACCACCTCGTGCAAAATCTGGCAAGCTCTGGAAAAGACAGGTCCTTTACACCCTAAATGACAGCATTTTATTCTGAGAAATTCTTTCAGCAATTGCCTCTACCTTGTTCCTGACATGGATTTCTAATGGCACATCTGTTCCAGGAGGCTGCCCACACTCTTGCTCTGGTGGCAGAAGGGTGGGATGGGTGCCTCAGTAGCTGAGCTGCTGTAGATCTTACTGCTGGGCCTGTGTGCCAAAAAGCTTCTTTTTGTGGTGCCTTATAGTGGGTCCTAATATTTCCTGGTCTATCTGTCCCAAATCCTAACACCAGACAGCAAGCTTCATAGGGTTTATGCTGTTGACTCCTCTGAGGGTGTCTGTTCACACTGGCCAGTGCTCACCTTGTTCTCTGGGCTGGCTCAGAGAGAAGTGCCAAACCACGTTTCTTTATGGGCCAGAATAGGGAACTGCATTGGCTCATAGTGGGCCCAGAAGTGTTCCTACAACGCCTGGTTCTCATTAGTGTGTTACCAGCAGAAGACACATATGGGTCACTAACTTTGGTGTCTCTTCCCTTCTGGGTTCTCTGCACTTTGCTTCTTGTTGGCTATGACTTGGCTCCTGCATTTGTGTGAGTGTGTGTGTGTTTCACCACAGGGGAAGGAGGTGAATGCTGGCAGGATTGGACTCACCATTGTACTGTCGGGGATGGTTGGGGCTCTGATCTCCGGCATCTGGTTGGACAGAACCAAAGCCTACAAGTAAGTCTCTTGTTTGCCTCTGCTCTTCCCCCTTACTGTGCAAGGAGCAACCCTGTGCAGTTGCAACTCTGCAGTCTAGGGACTGAATCATTGGGTGGGTTTGTAGGGGGGAAAAAAAAAAAAGTTTCTTCAAAATCCAGTTTGTTTAAAGTGAAGTTTGTAGCTGTGTGTTAGTCTGCACTAGGCCCGCACAAGGTCTGGTTCCAGTGGTCCCTGGGGAGGCATAGGGAGAGGATGAGATGGCCCAGCAGTTGCTTTGTTAGTGAGGAGAGAGTTCTTGGCACAAGCAGAATAAAGACTGTACCAGACCATTTCTCAGCCCTTACAAACCAGCTTCTGTGAATCTTTGTCTGACTTAGTGAAAGGCACATTGAATCCAGTGCCCAGAGGCATTGTATGAGTGTGCGATGCTGTATTTAGGGCAGGCATAAGGCCTGTTGGGGTTGCAGGTTGATGATTCTGGGTTTGCTGCCTGGTGGGTTGGGAAGGCAGATCTGGCCAGCATACCCTGTCATATGCAAATGGACAGCAAAGAGTCTTTGGGTGTCTTGCAGCTCCCAGTACTCAGAAGCTCAGATCTCACTGACAGACCTCAGTAGGGTGTCCCTGGGGATGGTGAGTGCCTCTCCTATCTTATGTTGGGGTCCGTGTAACCAGCATTTCAGTTTCCTGCTGTCTTTGAGAACTGTGCTATAACCTGTTGTCTGAGCAGGTTGGATGACGGGGCTTTACTGGTGTTGAGCTGATGGCAGCTTCGAAGTTCTTTTCCTTGCAGCAACTTTTCATCTGGGGGAGTCTCACTATCATTATTGTACCTTGTATCTTAGGCTAGAAAAGCACATTCTCATTGTGGGCAGCTGAGATGAATCTGGCTAGCTGTGGGCTTGCAGCTTCTGAATTGGTGTCTGGCCCTAGCTGTCAAGTGTGGGGATCAAAAATGGAGAGGAAAAGGGATTCTCTAGCAAGAAAGAATGGTAGCTGAGGACTTCTGGGGGTGCTGGGAAAGAGGAGCAGATGACTAATACAGAAACTGGTGGGTCACTTGTTGCTGTTTCTAGATCATTGTGTGCCACTGAATAGTTCTTATTTGGCAGTCCTGGGAAATAGAAACACAGCTGTTATGAACTGCACTGGCTAATGGTGCAATGTAACTTGTGTCTCTTTCCAGCTCAGGGCTAGTCATAAAGTAGCCTCAACTGGCACTGTCAGGGGTGGTCTTCCTGATTCTTCCTAAGTGGAGCTAGGTTGCAGCATGAAGACTGAAGAGCTTTGTGGCTCACCAGGCAGAGCTGGGACCTGAAATTTGGCAGAATGGGAGGGGGGAAAAAAAAAATATCCTGGACTAGTTACAGAGCTGCTGCTTGCCCACCTTGCGTAGATGGGCAGAGCTGGATGAGAGTGCAGAAAGATAGGGTTGTGCCACTCATGGAATTTATCCTACAGACCCTGGGGACTATCTGGGGATAGATTTAGCCTTAGGTGAGGAAAAACACTGCTAAGAATTTGTTCTCTATTGCAGCCCACAAAGTAGATTTCTGTGGAACTAGCGAAATTTTTCTGAGTGCTACAGAGTCTTTATTTAGCCCCATTTAAAATTCTATTTAAAAAAACTGTCAAGATGCCAGATGTTCTAGGTAGGTACCCTCCCCCTTCCCTCTGCTGCTCAGATAGTGTCAGGAATGAAATGGTAAGCACATGAAAATCAGGAAGGAAAGATGTCAAGTCCTTTTTTTAGTCAGCTTAGAGAGAGTAGGAAGCAAATGAATGGGATCCAGCTGTGATTGAGGGGAGCAGGGGGAGGTTAATAACAGAAGGAATTGCAGAGCTCTACATGTGTGTTTGATCTTTACTGTCCCATCAGCAGTTCCTTGAAAGGGTGAGGCTGTGCTAAGTCAGGCTTTCCCCATCTGTCATGCTCAGGCACCAAATGGCCTTGCATTCTTGCTTTTATTTGTCAGTCAAGTCCCTGCAGCAGTCCCTGTGCTGTTCTTATTTTTGAAATTAGCAGGCGCAGATTTGGTCTGTACGAATACGCGAGTTAAGTTGTGATGAGCGAGTGGTCCCAGAACTGGGGCTGCCTCTGGTGGGATGGCTTGTTGAGAACAGCCCACCTCTTTGAAAGAACATGTTTTGACATCAAGTTAAACAGGCCTCAATATACATCCTTCAGGTTCCTGGCTCAGAGGAGAGATGGGGTTGTGACACCTGGAGACTGCTGGGTATACTGGTATTTGTAGGCTCAGAATCAGGGGCTTGGGGACGGGGTTAATCAGCATTTCTCTTTGGCCATGCTTTGCTTTTAAGGGCAGTGTTCACGTGGCCTCAGGTCCAGCTGGTTCCAGACAACATTCTCCATTGTCATCGCTGCATCTCTGTAAGACAAGATGTCAGATATGTCCATCTTTCTCCATTGACTAGGCAGAGGACCCCAAGTGGTGTTTTACACTTAGGTCTGTACGGGCCCAAAGTGCATTAAAATTTTGGGGGAGGAAGGAAAGACTTTGATAATGGAGAATGGGGCACTTGGGTATCTTCTGAATGGTGAATGCTCCCTCAGCCTAGCCTGGCCTGCAATTTGGGTTGTCTTGTAGTCCTTTTCCAGGTTAGTCCTTGTGTAGTGGATATGCCTTCGCCCTGTCCTGCCATATGTCTTATATAAATAATTTACCAAGGCTATCCTTTTTTGTGACCTTCATACAGGAAGAAAGTGGCATACAACTGAGTGCTGAAGTATGAGGGGGTGGTGAAAACCAACCAGCCCTCTTCAGTTCTTCACTTCTCCAGCATCTGACACCTCAGTGTCTTCAGCAGCGAGATCCTTCTGAGAGTCTAGGGACAAGGCCTTTATTCAGGGTGCTGTGCAGCCTGGAATGTGCTGTCCTCTTGGCAAAGCCTGTGGAGGCCATTTGTCATCCCAGTCAAGTGTTCCGGAGCTGCACACAACATCCTAGTGAGCAGCTAAAGCTGTGGCACATGCCTGTGGCCTCCCCCCCGCCCCTTGTTCGTTTTGTTTCTTGACTCTAGTGTTTTTGCAGCTCTGATCCCCTGTGAGTCTGGTCCTGTCCCTTTGGCTTTTTCTCGTCCAAGTGACCTTGTGAGACACTGCTGGTCTGGTCTGGGCAGTGCCTTAGTCTAGGACTTCCTTGAGGTGACTGAACAGCAGGAATTGTGTTCTTCATTTCAGTCCTGTTCCCTGCTTGTGCTGGTCCTGGCTGGCTTTTTAACTCAAGGTCTCTGTTTTCTCACAGTCCCTTGTGTGAGCTCTTTAATCTGCCTCTTCAGAAGGGTAGGGAATGTGGCTGGGAGGGCAGATGAATGCCAGGGCAGCTTAGGTTCACCTAAATGACAAGTGTATCAGCTCCTTCACAGAACTCCCTCTGGCTCTGCATGAGAGACTTGACAGCTGGTGCCTTTGTAGCACTGCTTCCACATCAGTGTGCTGGGCTTCCTTCCCATACCCCAGAGCACAGAGGTAAGTTAACCCCAGATGTCCTAAGGTGATGTAGCAGGATGCTGCATAACTTCCAGCCTTCACTCATCACACTAGTCAGCCTGTTGAGGAGACTGGCTGTGCCTGTTCCAGACAATGATAATTATCAGTCGCTGTAGGGACATCATGGGAACAGGTTGCTAAAAACACCAGAATGCTGTGTGAATGTCCTCTGTGAATCTGCTTCTCCTCCTTTGTGTTTTTATCTCTCCCATAAGATATTTATGGCTATGATAAGAGGCTTATCAAGCAAAACTGGGCGTTCTTCCATGCCCTGGTGCCCCTAGGTCCACAGAGCATTCTTTTTGTCCTCTAGTGAACATGGTGACAATGGCCACTTCCTGAGAAACTCCTGCCTTGGTGTGTTTTCCCAGGAGTTTCTTTGTTTCCTTATGCACCAGTGCCTACCTGTGTCTCAAACCCTTTTCAAAATGTTGGGTCTTGCTTGGACTGCTGGGCACTAAATCTCCTTTTATGTCATTAGTGGTATGCTCAGGGGGAGCAGGGTCTTGCTAAAGACTGGTTTAGCAGATGCCTGCTTGTGTACTTGAGGCTGTTTCCTGCAGCAGGAGTTGCATTCAGGGCTTATCCGTTCAAGTCCTGGTTAGGGACTGTGGTGAGCAGGCAGCTGATCGGTGCATGGCTTCGGGATGCTTCCCGGTGTATGATTTCCACAGCACTCAAGCCTGAGGCCTTGTTATTTCACAAGGGTCTGTCAATTAATTTTGTCCTGCTGGACCTTAATGATTCAGGGAGGTCAGTGAGGAAAGCTGATGGTCTCCTAAATCTAGCTAGTGTGTGGTAGATAAGGTACCCATGGCAGGATCAAACTATTTTCTCCGTTTTTCCCCTCACTTAGTTCTCCAGTTCCAGTGGAGAACACCTTAAGGAGCTGCCTGCTTCTATAAGCCTGACTGCTCTAGTTCTCAGTGGGGGCCTCTGTGTTCTGGGAGCTTCTTTCTTGCAGCATCGATGTGAAACAAGGTTCTGACCACATCTGGTCACTAACTCATTCATTGCCTTTGCCTGGAGATGAGGGCCCACTGCAACTGTTGGCAACCGTCATATCAGAGTGAATCAGATACAAACTACTTAGAATACTTGAACCATAAGCCTAGGAAACTGAGTGATATTTTGTGGGACTATCTTAAGAGCTCTGCACTGAGACCAAAACTTGACTGTGGGAGAAAAAAAAAAAAAACAACTCACAAACAAAAAGGATGTGCCAAGTGTCTCTGCTGTCACATTAAGCTTCTTAGGGTCACAGCCACCTCTTGGAGGCTTGCACTGTATTTTAGCACTACCTGTTGTGTAGTTTGGAGAATCCTGTTTATGGAAGGAGCACCCAGTTCAAACTTGGTCTATGTAGCCCAGCTGTAATTCTAGCCTTGAGCCCTGTTCCACTTTTCCTCCGTGGCTTCTTGTCAAGGAATGGGAGGCATAAGAACTCATGAGAGATATCTAAGGAACCTGTATTGAGCAGAAAAAGGCTTCTACCTGCTTCTCTTTCACTTTCTGAGCTTCTCTCTAAGTCTTCTGTCAGTCTTCAAGCTCTTCTCCTTCCGCAGCCTCCAGTCTGTATACCAGCTACATAGCAGCTCTTTATAATGGGTTATAGCAGAAGTATGCAGCCCTTTTAGGCTGCCTTCATAGATGACTTTTTTCCTCCATGAAAGCATTGGAAAGAACATATTCTAGCAATTATATGGCATTGGAGGTTAAGGGATTTGCCTACTCCTTTGATACAAAACAAAATGACTTGTCACAGCAAAATGTTGTTTAGCCTTTCGATACATTAAGTGTGTCTGGTGAACCTTTGTAAGCATGGATCAATAGTTGAAGTCTGAAATGAGCTTCTCAAGCCTGTATTTCGATAAGAATTGACGTATGAGCATGACCCCCACTGACTTCAGTCATTGCAGCAGTGAGGGAGGACAGAACTGTAGCTGGAGTGTTCTGGTTTTATCTGTAGTAATTCAGTGTAGTGGAAATATTTTATTACACCATGAGGTACTGGCTGCCCATTTGGGGTTTGATTTTTGATGATGGTCATGTGCATTAAAAAGGAAAAAAAAAAAAAGTTAAAATAGTTTGAGGCTTAGTTTCTTTAGTAAAATTCTAGGAACTGATACCAAACACATTCTTTAATGTATTAAGACTAAAGTTTGGGAGAAAGTACACAAGTAGCTCATGGTTATACATTTAACTTCTTCCTAAAAGGCAGTGGCCAAAAGGTTTTGTCAACTCTGGTAACTGTTCTGCTTTTGAGATCTTGGTGGAATTGCAGTCAAAGGATTTGCCTTTCCTTCCTTCCCAAAACTATGTAGCATGAAGGGCTGCTTGCTATCTCCTGTACTAGAAAGAGCCTTGGTTTTTGGATGTGGGAAGGGTTTTTTTTCCTTGGTGCTTAGTCAGGCATCACAGTTGCTAACATTTCAGTTCTGGTAAAGCTGGCATGGGCTGCCATGTGTGTGTCTCAGTACTGAGCCCACTGATGGTCCTCAGTGTGGCCAGGCTGCAGGTCTGGATGTTCCCAGGATCTGCCTGGCGTGCTTCCTGGGCATGGGGTCTCTTCCTCCCCTCTGCCCAGATACAAGAGCTTGTGGCTCAGCCGCTGCTGGCCATGGAACTGGCATTAGCCCTGCTAAACTCTCCCATGGCTTGAGGATGAGGCTGTGAGGGCAACCTGGCTTGCATGTCACCTCTCCAAGTACAGTAGGCAGTTTAAACACATAAAGGAGCAGCAATGAAGGGTGTTCTGCATAGCACTGAAAAATACAGGCCCATAACACCGTAGCAGTGTTGTCACCTCTTCCCTTTGCTTTCCTGCTTGAGAGTGCTCGATACCCTCAGCTCTTGCTTACAAGTAAGCGTGTCCGACTGGTTATAGTACAGAAGGTGCCCAAGAAAGGCCAATGATCTCTTATATTTGCCTCTTGTTCTCCCCCTCAAGAGGTGTGTACGGTACGTGACCAGGGACTTGTCAGCCCATGGTAGTATCTGAACTTCTTGGCGGTCTCATAGGTGCCTCCTTATAGATGTGATGCCTTGATTCCACAGGGAGAAAAGCTGGTCATGAGGTAGGGATGTGAAAACTCTGAGGTCTTGTTCTTGATTTTCCTGCTGCCCTTCTGTGTGTACAGATCCTCCTGTGCTCTCTGTCAGTCCAGTTCCTCTGTCTGTGGTAAGGGTGTCAGAGAACTGTGCAACTTTTTAAATTTTTTTTTTGTTTGTTTTTAACCATGTGCTGCAAATTATACCAAGATCTGTGGGTGGAAAGAATAAACCCCTGACTCTGCTTTTGCTTGCAGACAGACAATACTAGTCGTCTATATCATGTCGCTGGTGGGATTGATAGCCTACACCTTCACTCTGAGCCTAGGACACCTCTGGGTGGTTTTTGTGACTGCAGGCATGCTGGGGTAAGTTCATGGGCAGGCTGCTTTCCTCTAGATATGAGCTGCTGTGGGATGAGCAGGAGGGCAGAGCTCATGGTGCAGGAGGGACTAGGGAGAGACATAGCCTGTGTGTGCCTCCTGTGTGGTTTAAGGACAAAATAATCTGCTCTTCCCATCTCTCTCTTGTGTTTCATTAGTCAGTGACATTAGTGTCTCCCTGCTTAGATGCAGCTGCCTTAAATGTTCCAGGTAATCAAGTGAAAACATTTAGGAAGCCAGTGGTACCACAGTCCCATAGATAACCAGTGGGCAGGAATAAAAAGCATGTGGGCCTGTTTGACTGTGCTGGGGATGATGCCCTGTAGAGTTACTTGTGGGAGATGCTACTTTTAATACCTCATTCTTGTAGCAACCGGCAGCTCCCTGCTGGCCTGGCTCTGTGCCTTGAGGCTGTGGGCAAAGATAATTCTGTGTAGGAGAAAGACCTGTGCCATGGTGAGGGGTCAGACAGCTGCCTGGGCTGTGACAATACTAGGGGAAATATCCTGTGCCATCAGTGAAGCATCCCAAAAGGGATATGGGCTACACTGTGCCTCTTCAGTCTTTCTTCTGGCAGTTGTTGAGTCTTTCTTTTTGTGTGTTTCTTTACAGGTTTTTCATGACAGGATACCTTCCCCTGGGCTTTGAGTTTGCTGCAGAGTTGACATACCCAGAATCAGAAGGAACATCATCAGGGCTCCTTAATGTTTCAGCACAGGTAAGTGTGCTGTTTTTCCTTTGCTTGCCTCTTTATAGGCAGAGTGATTAAATTGTAGTTCCCAGCCTTCACTGCTATTTCTTGTCCATGATTATTGTAATGTACTGCAGATCTAAGCACCCCAGGACATGGCTTTATCAATGATGTTCCTCATGGCATTTCTTCAGTGGCACCCATTCTGTTTCTGCTTAGGAAAATCCATCAGGATGCCAGTCATTCTTACCTTTTCCAGCATTGCTGCTAACAGCCTAGGACCTTGCTCCTCTCCAGTAAGAGGTGGGATTTCATCCTTAAAGGGTCACCTGCCTTCCTATCAGCTGCATGGAGGTGCTTCTAGATGCGTTTATAACCAAACTTTAGTGTTGTTAAGACAACAGCTTGGCTGGTCTGTATGCTCTGATACCTTGGTAAAGCTGGGAAGCTGTTCAGGCTGCTTTATAATAACAGTACAGCTTGACACTGCCTTTGTTTGTAGATTTTTGGTATTGCTTTCACCATCGGCCAAGGGCAAATCATGGATTGCTTTGGGACGAAGGCAGGAAACCTTTTCCTTTGTTCCTTTCTGTTCCTGGGGACTGTTATGACAGGTAATTAAGTTTTTCAGTGTTCCTCTGCTGTAACTTTTGCCCTTAGCCTTGACATATGAATTGAAGGACTTCTGTGTGTAGTGGTGCTTGCAGGAGAGGGCAGAACCCACACAGCAGTCCCATAGCAATGCTGCTTTAAGCATCTGGTCTGTGTTACAAAAAAGATCCAAGGCTTCTTGCCCTGGTTGCTGGCTGGGGTCTCAAAGATACACCTTTTACATTCTGCAATAAGAAGTCTCTACCCTGCCTGTTTCAGAAGTGCTCTGCCTCATCTAGGAAAGTCATTTCCCTTGCTCACTGTAAATCATTCCTGTATCCTCTGGGGCCTCTGCTGCCCCTTTGAGTTCTGGGGAAATTGATTTGGGCTCTGCATGGTGACTTAACTGCCTTCACATCTCTCTTCCTCCCTCTGTCCCAGCATTCATTAAAGCTGATCTCCGAAGACAGCAGGCCAATTTGGATAATGAACAGACAGTGAGTAAACCCCTCCTTCAATCCCTGCTATGCCCCTGCTATTAGCTGAGGACAACACCCAACCTCTTTCCTCTGTAGGAATGGGGCTGGCCCTTTCTGAGTTAGGATTGCATCCGTGATTCTCTTCTCTTATCCCACCACCTTTTGCCCAGCCTGTGGGGAAGCTCCTTGCTGGCATTTTCAGACAGGTGGCTGTAATCCCAGCTCTACCAGCTACTGGGACCTCTGCTTACTGTTAATGTCAGGCAGAATCTGTAGGCTCTGAGAGTCTAGAGGGCTTCACACATCTTTGTATTGGCTAGGGACAGGTGTAGGGCAGCACTGTGCTCGCTTCTCACCCCTGACAATGCACTGAGCCCTCCAGTGCTTTATCCTTGTTTAGAGCTGGGTAACTGTTATTCCAGGCCCCTGGGGAGGCAGGTTATCCCTTTTATTCCCTGTTTTTAGCTGCCAAGTGGGGTTCAGTTCAGTGTGTGGGACTAGAGGAGCTAGGTGGCAAAGCCCAAATGAGGGCTTGAGGAGCTTGGCTCCCCACACTTTGCACAGTGCTGCAGACAAGGCTGCTAGTTCATAAGTGTGCACCAGAGCTTGGGGTATGATGTCCCTGTGGCGTGCTATGCAATAAATAGCTGTTTGCATGTGGGAGAGGGCCTCCAGTGAACTAACTTCAGTGGATACTTTTATAAACTGTCCCTGCGGTGAAAGGGATGGGACTGGTGGTTGTTTGAGGCTCTCTTCCTTATTGCTCTGGGCTCCTCTTCTAGGACGTTAGCAGAGACGTCCACCCTACGTTCATGAAGCCATCGGTGACCATGACTAGCAAAATGCATAAGCTCAGTTCTCTGCTGGCTCGAGTCAGCTCTTTTCAGAAGACAATGCTGCCTTCCTCCAGATAATATAACCAGTCTGATCTGGAGAGAGACCAGAAGGTTCAAGAAGCAGCTCTACTCCGACCAGCTGCTCAGGAAGGTGGATTTTCAATTACAAAATACATATTTTTTTTATTTTTATTTTATGTTTAGTTTTTAATTTATTTTTACTGAACTATCAGCACAAATGCAGAGGGTAGGATAAGTAAAGGGAAATGATGCTGCCTTGGGTAGTTTTTGCACATATAATTCTAGAGTAGATGGGGGGAAAAAAGCTGTACAATTTATCTAGTTTGGGTAAAGGAGTGTGTGTGTGTATCCCCCAATTGTCATAACTTAAAAAGAATTCCTGCTTTTTTTCCTGCTCTGAGGCTTACAACTTTGGCTGATTTTAGCAGCGGTGAGCATCATGGTCTACGGGACCAAGCTAGAGGACAACTGCTTTTCCAGCATCCTGGTGTGAATGTGGCTAACTGGAACACACTTAGCTAAGCTGAGCTGGGGTAAAGACCAGTCTGTTTTGATAAATATCAAACTGCTTGTATCCCTTGATTAACAGTGCTGAAGTCAAAGGCAGAAGATGAATTGCAAGGCCAAACCATCCTCTGCAAGCCCTGAGGCAGCAGGGTTGTAATGAGAGGTGCTGGTGGCACTGTGGGTTAGTTCATAACATGTATGTGGAAGGCCCAGGGAATATCAAGGTCCTTTGGCAGTGAATGTGATGCCTAGTAGTAGTAAGGTCCTTTCCCTTTGTCAGACAACTCTCTCACCAGATGAATTGTACACTTTTGCTTAAACCATTCTTAGTATAAATACTATTGTAACAGCTTGCTGCTGGAATGAGGAGGGTATTGAGACCAGACCAAAGGTGGTACAGGTGTCATTTCTGTAATCCTAGAAGCCTCCAGAACTGACTGCAGTAAGAACCAGATGGATGTTTGTGAAGTAACAGGTCTCAGTCAGCCAAAGGCTTCAGTGGCAGCTCCTTCCCTGTGAGGAGTCATGCTCTGAGGAAGTCATGATGGAAACCCCACCACACCCACACATGGCTGAGCTCACCTGGGTATTTCTTAAGTTTAACAGACAAGCCCAGGTGCTCAACCAACTGAAGAATCTGTGCTAACATGCATGCCTTAGGGGAGCCACCAGCTGGGCTTGGGCATTGTGTGCTGCCTTTGTGGAGAGCTCTGACAAAGTCAGCTACTGGAGCTTTTCTACATGGCACAGCTGCCTCACACATGCTTGGGTGGTTTTACTGGATTCTTCCATTGCCTGTTTCTCTCTTATTTTCCCCCCTTTTAATTTCCCTCCCTACTTGCCTCCATCTTTTCTGGGATGGTGACTTGTGACTGTTGTTACAGAGACTCCAAGGCAGCAATCAGATCACGGATTACGGGACTGTAGCTTGTAACTCTAACCCCATCAATCCCCACTTCTGCTCACTAGCTCATACACAAAGGTAGGAGAATTGCACTAATCTGCTTCTCTGAACACACACAGCTGGCACGGGCACCAAGCCAATGGTACTTCTGGGGTGACAGCAATGGCCATAGAGTACTCAGAATCTTTCTGGCCTTCTTGGGTACCCAACTGAGATGAAAGACAGGACAGCTTTCAAGAACAGGGTGGAGATCCCACCAGACTCATGTCAGATAGGGGCCTAGGGATTCAGCTAGATACAGCAAGGCAAAGCCTTGCGCTGGAGCAGGTGAAGAACCGAATTGTCAGAAAGTTATTGGGGAGAGGAGGTGCAGGCATTTGGAGATTCTTCTCTGACATTACTTTTACAGTCCTGATTCTTGACTGGAAGTGATATCAGGAGCCCTGTAGAAGAGTTGGCTTTGATCACAACCAGGGTGCATGGCCAACTTCAAGAATGAAGTTTAAAAACATGTAGCAATAAGTGTCATTGGGTTGGTGCCTTTTCATATAAGAATGCCTGAAAACTGTAAAGTGTTTTGCTTGCTGATCTGTGAATCTCAATGGAACTTGGCATTTTCTCAGCTGTTGCTCAGGGTGTAATGCTTTATTACTGTCTTCTGCTTCGCACTGACTGGCTGATCTGCCAAGTTAATCACGCTACCCTTTGCTTCTCAAGGTGTTCATTGAATGCGCGTTATTGCTTAGTGTCACAGCCAACAGGACTAAGAGGCAAAAGCAGATTGAGTTTGTTGGGAAAAACAGTCTTAATCCTGATAAGACTAGAGTATGTGCTACTGGGAGCGTGAAGCTTCCATGCTTTCATGCAAGTGAGAGGAAGAGTCGCATGGGTAGGGAAAGAGTTGACTCCAGACTGAGTGCTTCTGAAGCTATCCGCATGCTGTAGTTGTTGGCAGTTTTAGCAGGGTATACATGTGGTGTTGATTTGGGACCAAGTATTTGAGAAACTGTAGCTCCTTGAGCTGGGCAAGCCTGGTTGGGGTATACTGGTACTTTTTTTGATGGCTGAAGTTTATGTCATTGCCTCTTGTACCAAGCTAGGTCTGCTAACATTGCTGGTGTTACCACTGACATCCCAGCTGCAAAATAGACACTGCGAGGCTCAGGCATGTTGCTGTATACACCCTGTGTCAAACCTGCTCCCATAAAGAAAAAAACCACATGGGTCATTGTCATAAACTCCCTTTTGAAGGGAACAGAAGCCCAATATGCAGACCAGACCCACTTCTTAAGGAAGTTTGCTGCTTCCTTGGGGTCCCGGTTAAAGATGTGAAGAGAAAGCTTCCTACCCTGGTATGGCACTCAGATTATTATCCATTATTGATTTTTTTCAGGTAGGCAGTGATGAAGTTGCAACAAGAAGTCTGAGGGCAATCAGGGGAGACTTCAGGGCCTTGGGATGACTGGTTAAGGGATCAGGAGCATAAGTAGTGTTCTTCCCTTTCCTTCCAGTTGCAGGGAATGATGAGGGAAGAAACAGGAAGAGCCAGCAGATCAATACCTGGCTCTGAGCCTGGTGTCACCAGCAGAATTTTGGGTTTTTTGATCATGGGTCCATTTATATTACATCAGGCATGCTGGCAACAGATGCAGTACACCTGTGCCAAAGGGGGAAAAAGATCTTTGCACTGGAGTTAGCAGGGCTCATTGAAAGAGCTTTAAACTAGGTTTGAAGAGAGGAAAGGCATAAAAGCAGGCTCAGTAGAGATAAGCCTGAGGGTAGCACGCTTATGAAAGGCGGGTCCTGCTTGACTAACCTAATCTTCTGTGACAAGGTGACCTGCTTAGTAGATGAGGGAAAGGCTGTGAATATCTTCTACCTAGACTTTACTAAAGCCTTTGACACTGTTTCCCGTTACTCTTTGCTGGGTAAAAAACCAGCTGTATGGTTGGGCCCAAAGAGTTGTGGTGAATGTTGTTAAGTCCAGTTGGCGGCTGGTCACAAATGTTGTTCCCCAGGTCTCAGTACTGGGGCCAGTTCTGTTTTAATATCTTTATCAGTGATCTAGATGAGAGGATTGAGTGTACCCTCGGCAAGTTTGCAGACCACAGCAAGTTGGGAAGGAGTGTGGAAATGCTTGAGGGCAGGAAGGCTCTACAGAGGGATCTGGACAGACTGGATTGATGCACCGAAGTCACCTGTATGAGACTGATGAAGGCTCAGTGCTGGGTCCTGCACTTGGGTCACAACAGCCCCATGCAATGCTACAGGCTTGGGGAGGAGTGGCTGGAAAGCTGCCTGGTGGAAAAGGACCTGGGGGTGTTGGTCGACAGCTGGCTGACTATGAGCCAGTAGTGGACACGTGGCCAAGAAGGCCAGCAGCATACTGGCTTGTATCATAAATAGTGTGGCCAGCAGGACTAGGGAAATAATTGTCCCCCTGTACTCAGCACTGATGAGGCCACACCTCAAATACTGTGTTCAGTTGTGGGCCTTGCACTACAAGGAAGACACTGATGTGCTGAAGCACATCCAGAGAAGGCTGGTGAAGAGGCTAGAGCACAAGTCTTATGAGAAGCAGCTGGGGGAACTGGGATTGTTTAGCCTGGAGAAAAGTAGGCTCAGGGGAGACCTTATCACAGTCTACAACTACTTGAAAGGAGATTGTATTGAGGAGGGTGTTGGTCTCTTTTTTCCAAGTAACAAGCAATAGGATGAGAGGAAATGGCCTCAAGTTGTACCAGGGGAGGTTTAGATTGGATATTAGGAAAAATTTCTTCACTGAAAGGGTTGTCAAGCATTGGAACAGGCTGCCCAGGGAAGTAGTTGAGTCACCATTCCTGGAAGTATTTAAAAGATGCGTAGGTGTGATGCTTAGGGACATGGTTTAGTTTTGGACTTGGCAGCATTAGGTTAACAGTTGGACTTGATGATCTTAAAGGTATTTTCTAACCTAAATGATTCTATGATTCTATGGCTGTTGCAAGAAGACTGACACTCAGAGTCAGATGTGAGCTTCGAGAGGATGCAGAGTTGTGGAGTTGTGCAGGCCTCACACTTCCCACCGAAACACTATGCCATTGCCTGTGTAGCCCTTTTGATGATGGTGGGTCTTTTCCTGTCTTGCACCAATGGAGGTGCTGTCCCACAGTGGAGGTAGGCAGCTGGCTTATTGTCTTCTCTGGGGGTCCATCATCCAGAGTAGTGGCCTAAAAAGGCATGCTTCTTCCTGGTGAAGAAATGGAAATGATCTAATGGAAAACTGTCAAAATCTTTAGATGGATGTTCAGCTGTTAAGTGGCTTTGGTGCACAGGAGAACTGTGGAACAGCCTGATTTCCCAGTGTATTAAGGAACACACGAGGGAAAAACCCACATGCTGATTCTCACAGGGAAAGATCTTCCATTTTCGCCTAGCAGTGGCTTTCTGGTGATGAAATGGAAAGCCTAGAATCTGGCTGAGCTGTTGATTTTGCAGGGAGAAGAGCAACGTGTAAAGCTATAGCTTCAGTGACAAGTCAGCATTTATCAGTCTTGACTGCCCAGGAATCACAGCCTCTCAGCAGCCACCTGTCAGAGCTTTTGGCTACTGTTCACGCTGCAGGATGTTTTTCCTTCTTCCTGCAGGACCTGCCTTCTGTTCACAAGCAGTTTGTCCTCTACCAGTGCCTTCATCTGCTTTATAGTCATAATTAAACAGAAGTTGTGATTAGTAGAACTTTTAGTGGGAACAAAATTAGCCTAATGGCATTGTGGATACTTTGTCCTCTCTTAATAAAGGTTCCAACAGTCCTCCCACTTCTGTCTGCCTCAGTTCCCAGCGCACCAGCAGGGTTACTTTCTGTATCTCAGGACACTTAGATCAAATGCCCATTTGACGTGATAATGAGTCTTTGTTGACTGCTTTTGTTGTAAGTGCATCTGAAGCTATTCTAACGTTGTGCCTTAAGGTTTCATAGTAGTGTCAGTTGATTCAGCATGCAGCTGTCATAAAGATACTTTTAAGCTTGTGTGGGTTTTAAGAAAGCAGCTGTCGTATAGATTGAAGGATTCCAAAATGGCAAGACTGTCTTTTTGTTCAAACTGGTCTTTGCTAGGCCTCTTGGAAACTTGCAAATTTGATTAATGTATGTTCAGGGCACTTGAGACAGCTTTGTGTTAGTCTTACACAGTGGTAGATAAACTGATTTTTTTTTTGTGTGTATGTGTGAAGAATCTATTCTTGATAGCAGAGAGTATGCAGTAAAGTCGTTTCAGACTTCGTCCTTGTTCCTGAATTGTAATTAAATGAAAAACTTTTGTCTGGAGTGTTATGCCACCAGCAGAGATAAGCACTGATGAATAGATGATTTTGGATGACCAGTGACATGTTCTAGGTGTACAGCTACATCAAGGGATTTGTTTAAAACAGGACCAAAGCTTTGATGTGTCCTCAGATCATGTCCTGGATAAGTCAGGACTCCGTCAGGGCCAAGTACCTTTTTACACTGGTTGTATGTTTGCCTGGATGCAGAGATGCATCTGATGGATCTCAGTGGAATACCAAAAGTAGGTTACTTTTTCCTCACAAGGCCAATGTCATTTAGTGGCTGGCTTGGGGCATTAGGGCAAGCATCCACAGTCAGCATCTTACTGCAAGCTGTAGCATGCTTACTCTCTAGTGAAATACTGCTAATAAAAAAACCCTGCTGGAGTTTTGCATAGTAGGCACAAACAGTGTGTACCCCACCCCTTGCTTCCCAAACTTCCCTGCTCCTTTTCTGTGCTTACTGTGTGGCAAGCAGACTTCTCCTGTCCCAAAGCCATGGGCAGGCCATCTGCATGCTGTTTTCCAGTACTGTGGCTCCCAGATGCGAGAGCAGCCTTCCTTTCTCAAGGCGGTGAAGCCTGGCAGGCTGGCTGATCTCCTAAGCTCCTGTAGCTCCACAGCAGGTGAGTGGTGTTCAGAGCCCAGAAGTGCTTGGGGAGCCTGTTTGGAGTTGCCAGAGTGCTTCCATGATGCATTTTGGTGGGGTTTCCCAAACCTAAATGCAGCTTTCCCCTTACTCTTATCTCTGCCACTACTTTGTGCATCCTACTACTCCTCCTGCTGGTAGGAGTTCCCTATTTGCACTTCCTGGCTTTTGCTTCCAGGCATCATTTCGAAGCTTTCCTGATCTCCCCTGCTTTGAGATATTGTTGCTGACCTCTGGAAAACCTTTTCACCTGCAGTTTGTGTAAGAGGCTACTCAAAATGAAACTGTTTCGTATCTCTCGCTTCCATGCTGCCTGGACTTCTCTTGAACTGCACTGGAGATGTGAACCTCTGTCCTGTGCACCTCTGACTCCTGCCTCAGATGTCAGTCTTGCCCCACAGTGAGTTAACTCCCAGGCTGTGGGAGACTCCACATTCACCTTTGCAAGTCTTCATGCTGTCTTCTGGATTGGTGACAGTTGGTGTGTCTCACTGTAAGCAGAGTCAGAACTTGGAGAGGTATCTGGAATCCTCTGGGAGAAGTCTTGGGTCTAATCCTAACATGCCCCAGAAAGGCTCAGGAGAGGAGCTCATCAAGCTTCACCCAGGAAAGCTGAACTGGAATTGCCACAGTTTGGCTGTTTCATGCAGCCCAGGATATGGTAGCAATTGGGCAGCAGTCTCCATTGTCCTTGATTTTCCTCTGGGAAATGACTCCACAGCTCCCTCCATCTTAAGGGAAGAAACTGTAGGAGGGTTCAAGTAATCAGGCTAATTCTTCTATAGTATTTATGCAGGAAAAAAAAACCTGTATATGTTTGCCTTTTATTTTTTATGGCTCTTTAAAATATGAATAATGAACTTCAAAGGAGGCCTTATCGGTACCACTCTCTAGAATTATCCCACCTGTAAGTCCAAACTGGGGACAGGGAAGAATCTGGGTAGAGGGTGCCAGCCCTGGATGGGGGGGTGGCATGAAAAGACTTGAGGATGGGCAGAACCAGCAATCTGTCTGGGAGCTGAAGAGGCCCTCAGACAGAGAAGAGCAGGGTGCTGTGCTGAGCCTCCTTAGGGTGCACAGGATACAGGTTCTCTCTGGTGCTTGCACAGACACTGCGCTGCCCTATGGCATGAAGGAGGAGTTTCCAGTTTCTTCCCTTGCCCAGGGAACTGGCTCTGCACCTTCACTGCTTTGAGGCTGATCTTGTGTCACAGTGAAATGTCTTCAGTGAGCTGACTGTGGGGCTGATACCTGGACCTGTACAGCTTCGGTGAATTAAATGTGGTCTGAGGACTACAGCAAGTAGCTTAAGAGAAGTGGGACCCTTGATCTGCCCTGCTGCCCCAGTGCCCCTTGTCTGGGCAGTAGAAGGGTCTGGAGAAGGAGGAGGGAACAAGGTACATTCTCTGAGGATGGCAATTCTTCTTTGTGGATTTTTGCATATTAGCAGGGAGCTTTGAATTTCCCAGCCTCTGGCCAGCTGGCCTCTCTGAAGCCTGGGTCTGGCCACCCAGTATCCTAACCATATTGTTTTTCTCTGTTTGACTTGCAGAAAGTGATGCCAGAAGCCTGCGCTCATCCCATAGTCCTTGAGGAATCAAAGCTGTGAAATGGAGCGGTGGCAGAGCTGGGAGATACAGCCCCCCTCATTCCCATCTTTGCTACTTACGCTGTCCTCCTGTTACGTGTGCACCATGGTAGGGGGGCAGCCTCGGGCCAGGGGCCCAGTGAACTGCTTGTGGAGAGTGTGAAAGAGCAAACCAAGAAGGGTGTTGCTCTCTTCAGTTATACCTCTGCATCTCGCTGTTTTGGAGACTTTGCTTGGGAAGGAAAGTTGGGAAAACCCACTGTTTTCCCTCCATCCCACCATGCATGCTTGGAAAATATAAAAGCACACATGCGGAGAAAAACTGTAGTTCCAGACTAGCCCTGAGCACACGAGGGTGGCACCCTGCATGTGGCTGTGTCTCATCTCACAGGCAGGCTGTGACATGAAATGCACAAGCTGGGTCATGCTTACTCTGTGAGCAGCCCTGGAAGAGCTTTATGCTGGCTCTCAGGAAGAGGGATGGCTCTGCCTTGGTGCCCATAACGTGCTGTGTCGTACGGGTGATGGTAGAGGCCTCAGTACATCACCAGCAAGTGCAAATTAGTGCTCTGCCACTGCCGGCTCTGGTTTTACAGTGTGGCTGTCCCAGATGAAGCACTCTGGATAAAACTCAGCTCAGAATTCACTGAGGTTGCTCTGATGTTCCTATCTATTAGGAGTAATTGAGAGATACCAATCTCTCTCCTACCTGGAGGCAAGGACTAGTACTGTAGCTTATGCTGAAGCTACAGCCTAAGTCCAGATCATCAGTACAGCAGCCACAGGAGTGAGTCAGCCCACAAGCTCCCTCAGCTGAGGACTCTGTCTTCCTTCTTAATGATAAAGTGTCTTTTGCATGTTTCAACACTACATAAAAAATTTTGTGAAATGTTACATTGAGATAACCAGCCAAGGCTGTGTTGCTCTCCACAGTCCCAGAGAGGGGTTTAGTATGATGGGAATCCAGTTTTGCTCCAGTGTGGAAGCTTCCCGCTTTGCAATAGAAAACAGGAAAAGAAATCTTTCTTACCAGCATCTGTGTCTTGTAGACACTGCCCCTCTATATGTTGCTGTTTATCTTCTAAACACAGCTGTAGATCCTTATATCCCTTTTCCTTCTTTTGCAGCATCCCTCCTCTGGTGGAGATATCAAGTATCCTTATACTCCTTAAATCATGCACTTATGCATATATCATTTGGGGGGCAACAGGGACACAAAAACCACCCCATGGAATGGATAAAAATAGTCCCTTTGGCATACCACTTTTGACATAACATTTCTTGGGTGAAATTATAATCTTCTGACACATTAAAAAATTCAAGTCCTATTGTTATAGTTTGGGATTGAGGATGGGGGTTCTAGAATGGCTTTTCAATAGAAGATTTTATATAAAATAAAAACATTTGAAGTGTACAATGAAACCTGACACATTCATATTAAATGGTTGAAATGGTCTACATCTGGCTTTTAATAGCCTGAAATGGTTTGCAGAATGGAGAAATCATCTTTCTGCCTAGTGCTACTGTTGTGTTCTCTCCCTCCCTTCTGTGTTTTCTTGCTCTTCTGCACATGCACTGTCTTCCCAGCTAGGAGATCCTGCTGGTTCCTTCCTTCCTTCTGTGCACCGCCCATTTGCTTTGGCCATTATTTCATCTAAGTCTAAGCAACCTGTTCCTATTTTCTTCATCTTCTGTAGTTATAGCTCACTGTAAAGGTAGCTCAGTCCTTGCTCACAGATGCACGCTATTTGCTGTCACCAGCATGCCATGGAAGCAAGAGCTGCAACAACTCCCTTCGTGTGTGTGTCATGTGAGCAGCCAGACGCGGAACTTGGTGGGAAGGAGTCGGGGAAAGGTGGGTTTGCTGTCAAGAGAGATGATTTATACTGTAACATGCAGTAGAAACTGCTGTTTGCTCTGAGGTTATACATTTTCTACCTGCTGCTGTGTAGCAGAAAGACAGACACAGTGCCCTGCAGTTTTCTGTCATTTATTAGAAAGGGCCCCTGAGAAACACACACATGCAAGTTACACAGCAGTGCCAGGGGCAGCACCTGTTCTCTCTTTCTAGTTTGAAGTGTTCAGTGGATCCTGGGTAGCTCTACACCTCCTCCCCACAGATACACTGGAGGAGAAGTCCTTAGTGCACTGGGCATGCCTGAGGCATTACCTGCTGTCCTCCAGGGAGGCAGTTACCAACTGTCCCTGACAAGCTTTGACTCAAACTCCTCTGGGACTTGGTCTTTGACATCAGTGAGTTGAAATATTGCCTGGGCAAGAAAAAACACTTGGTAATGAATAATGATTGACAGAGTCCAACATTGATCCACCAGTGGGACTGGTATCCTGGAGGAGTTCAGCTGAGCTTTAGTGGAAGTTTGGCAGTGAAGACAGGAGATAATGGTGACCTACACAGGGCCCTCAGCTTCAGTTTTTCTTCTTGTTTTGTGACAGTTCTTCTACTTCCAGGTACTGCAGCCCAATCAACATCCCCATAATAGAGAAACCTGTGATGGAGATAGAGGATGAGTTGTGTAGTAAATGTTGGACAGGAGATGAGCCATTTTCTGCCACCACCCTCTCCTGCCCTTAGCTCATAGCCCTGTGGAGAGTTTTTCTTGGGGGGGTCATAGCTCCAAGGAGAGTTTGTGGGGGGGAGGATGCAGAGCTCTACTTACTTGCTACCATGAGGGGTGCCATAACTCCAATTGTCAAGGCTGCAGTGTGGTAAATGAAGACCTCGGAGAGGAAGTGAATGAGTGCCAAAAAGAAGGTGAAGAGCGTGATGTAATAGAGGCTGTTGGGAGAGCAGAAAGAAGCAGATTATCATATAACCTATAGCATGGGCATGAGCATGGCTGAAGGGAAAAGATGCAAATCTGCATGCTGCCCTGTCTGTCCTTACTGTGGCATCACAGAGGGGACTTGGTCCCTTGCCTAGTGAGGTGCAAAAGCTTCCTGGGCAACAGCTGAGAGGAGAACAGGGCAGAGTGTTCAGAGATCCACTGAAAGTCACAGGCGTTCTCTGGCCTGAAGGCAGGTGAAGAGGGGAGAGCAAAGGTAGGACACCGCTGAAGTAAGAAACGCGCGCACACAGAAAGAGGGTGAGAACTGAACAGGCCAAGAACTAGGGCAACAGGACTTGGCTGACTCCAGACTGCATCACCCAACACATCTTCCCACCTGTGCTCTGCTACCCTCTAGGGGCCACAGCTGCAGAAAGGGAACTGCTTCTAAGAAACGGCTGGCTTCACGATAATTGGCATTGCCACCACCTCCTAAAATCAGACAACAGAGTCCCTGCACCTCCCTACCACTGACAAACCTAGGCAATCCAAGGACATGCTTCCATGTGAACAGTGACTTCGGCTGCACGGCTGTGGAAGGCGGTGACAAAAGAGGGAGCTCTAGCAACCTCCAACACAGGCTTTGTCTAGCACAGACCCCAAGTCAGCCTGCTTGGAAATCCCTCTCAGAAGTACTTCTGTTACCCCAGAGAGAAATAGCTTGTCTGCAACCACAGCATCAGGCTGCACCTCAGGCCTCTGCTCAGCCCCAGACAAGAGCGTGCAGAAGAAGGCAGCAGGTTAAGGCCTCTGCAAGGGGCCTCTCAACCTGCCACAGGAAAAGAAGTACCAAGCATCAGTCAGACCACAGCATTAGTGATCGCTTCGTGTCAACAGAGCAGCAACACCATCAGAAGATGCTTTCCAAGCTGAAGCTCAGAAATTTGTGACATAAGAAGTTCTCATATCTACCAATTTCTGCCTGAGCTGAGACTGAACTTGAACGTGCAGGCTCTCCCCACAGAGGCAGAAGGCAGCAGCAAACAACATACAAATCCCACGCTGCTATTTAAGCTTTTTTGGTGGAACGCTGTCAACCCTATAGAAAGTTCAGGAACAGCTTTTGACTCCCCACCTCCTCCGCGCTGCCCTCTAAGCTAGCTGCTCAGGTCGCGACTAGCAAGTAAACCGACGGATTTCTCTGGTGCTCCTTTACGTACGTCCTGTTGCGGATATCGATGGCGCAGAGACAGCGGATCACGGAGGACAGCAGGGTCCAGACGCCGAAGGTCCGAGCCTGGAGCCCGTTCACTGCGCAGAGAAGAGGGGGAGGGGAGCACATGGAGATAACGCGCAGCCCCGCCCGCCAGCCCCCCATCCCCGCCGGGGCAGCGCACGGCTGGAGGGCGGCCGGCAGGCCTGGGGGCGGCCCTTACCGAGCCCGGGGCTAGCGGTGTACAGCTTCTCCGAGAGGAAGCTGTGGTCGCGGAAGCTCTGCAGGGTGTTCCCGGCAGCGATGACCGACACCATCACCAGCCAGCTGCGCAGCACGTTCAGGAACCGACTCATCCTCCCGGCCGGCGCGAAACCCGCCCGCAAGGCCCAGGCCGCTCTCGCCGGGGCCGCGCCCGCCGCCGCCTAGCACTCCGATTGGCCGCAGGCACGCCGCTCCACGCACGCCCCACGCCGATGTACCTCCCGCCCGCCAATCGAATCCCTCGTCAACAGCGAGGCGGTCCCGCCTCCTCTTGGCCACGCCTACCGCGCTGGTGTCGGGGTTGGGGGGCAGGCGGTGGCGGTGGGCGGGGAAAAGGCCGAGCGCGCGGCGGGACTGTTGCGCCTGCGCACTGGGACGCGGCGGGGCACGCCTGCGCAGTGCGGGCGGGGCGGGGCCAGTGTCTGTCGGTTGTTGTAGTAACGGGGAAGCGGCGGGAGGGGCCGCGGCTGCCGGGTTGCCGCGCCCGCCCGCCCCGCCGGCGGCGGAGATGCGGGAGCAGGTACGGGGAGCGGAGGCTGAGGAGAGGCTGGCTGGCGGCTCCGGGGCGGGAGCCGCGGCCCCTCGGGCGCTCCCCGCCGCTCTCGCTTCTCTTGGGGCCGCCGCGGGCCAGGCCGGCCTGGCCGGCCTCTAGCCGCCCGTGCGGGCGCGGCCGGGCCGGCGGGCTGTTCCCGGTTGTGGCTGACCCCAGGCGGCGCCGGAGTCTCGGCGCCGGGGAGGAGTAGGCGTTTCCCGCTGGGCTGCGCCGGGCCTGGCCAGCCCGCTGCGGTTCTGCGGCCGGGGGCAGGGCAGGGCAGGGACGCGCCGCAGAGGCAAGCTTCTGAATGACTCTCACGGGCAGATGGGGAATAATGTGCTGGAAAGTGATGCTTCTTCCTATGCTCCTGTGGCTAGGAGGTGTTTTACAGCCTGTAGCAAGCTTGTTGATAGTCCTGTGAGAAGCATGTATTGACAGGAGGTGCGTTACCTCCTTTCTCTTACTGTCCTGCTCAGCTATCGTTCATGCTCTTAATCCTTATTGTAGGTAACTGCTCTTGCAAGATCCCTTGAATCTGCAGGAAGGAGTCTCAGAGGCTACTGAGACAGGGCTGTATGAAAACTCCCAGAGGAAATGCCAGTTGGGATGGCTCGAGATCTGGAGGAAACTGGCTCATCCTCAGAGGAGGAGGAAGAAGTTGTAGATGGGCTAGAGTAAGTATGAAAAAACCCTCTTAACTACAGCTATCTCCCTGTGCTTCCTGCAGGATTTGTACTAATCTGAAAAGACAGTTGCATTCCTTACGCTCCTCCTACCTATGAAGTGAAAGATGGTTGGTTTGGGCCTTAAGCCTGTGGGCAGGCTACCTACTTTTGTAGCCTAAAAGACCACCATATTCATCGGGGTTGAAGGTGTAGCTCTTCCTTGGCTGTTCTAAAGTTTGTAGTTTCATTGATTTCTTCCTGACATGTTCTTAAACTTGGAATTTTCTTGCTGATGTTTAAGAAAATTAAGGAAATGCATGTCCTTTGTTTAATATTCTGTTTTAGCTTTTACTTTGCTGTGGAGAATTGAAATCTACTGTGCGGTAGGCTGATATGAGGTGTTTTATGTCCTTTTTTAAAAACTGTCTTGTGAGAACTCAACTCCTAGAGTTTGTATTACTTACAATTGTATGTTTGTTCCATCTGCGTTCAGTAACTTCTTTTATCCTTGCTTGTGAAGGAGTTGCTCCCTTGTTCTTTCCCAGAGTGCAATCCCTTTTTCATTTCAGCTGGACCTCCTTTAATATGTCCTCCTTGTTTTCTTTTGGGTGCGTATTGTGACTCAGTGCACAGTTGCAAACTGCAGTGACTTAAGGCATTTAGAGGAAAAGTTGCTTCATACCAAATAGTTGGATCAGATTTACCAGACCCTCCTGGATGGAAAGGTCCAGAAGTGCCTTCACTTTGAACATAATTGTAACAGTGTGTCTGCATCAAGTGGGCAAGGATCATGCTAGGAATGAATAACTGTAACCTGGAGGATTGAGCCTTGCTGCAAATCCTCAGGACAGGCTTAACATAAACTCCCCTCCTGTTGCCTCAGCTCATTTCCCACTTATATAAGGCTGTGGCTTGTAGTGTAAATTCTGGAAGCTTCTTGGGTTTCTTCCAGCTAGTTATACCCCAGTAGTTCATTTTTTTTTGTTGTTGTTTTATTTTTTTATTTATTTAGACATGGTGGAAGCAGATGTGAGTGCTGTGAAGTTAATTTGTTTGGGTGACAATGGTAATAGCTTGGTTAAGAGGACCAAGGTTACACTTAAGATTACTTACTTGTCCTAGCATCAGAAAATTGCCCTTTCATCTCTGTTTCTGTGTTCTAAGTGTAAGAAGTGTTTTGCCTTCTGTAGTTTCTCCAAACCTTTGGCAGACAGTGTTCTTGCACATTCTATAGACAAATGCTTCTGTGTATCTCTGCCCATCTTTATATTTCTTGTCTGTGTAGAGAGAGATGTATCTCTCTAACCCCTCAGTCTCTATTTTCTGTTAACTTTTTCATGGTTCCACTTCCTTGCGCAGTGAGTAATAAGCAGTCTGAGTTTAATTTACTTAAGGAGGTTGACACGTTTTCTCTCTGTGATCTTCGTATTTTATATAACAGATCTTAATTTTTTTGTGTGTGTGTCCTTAATTCATCTGAGAAGATGGTAGTTCCTACTGTAGTCTTGTTTTGGACAGAACTGATCCCTGTATCTTGGAACCTGTAACTTGAGTGGCTGGCTGGGGGCACTGTTGTTGAATTCTGGGCTTGCATTCCACTTCATCTGGCAGAAATTAAAGAGGAAGAAAGCACGTATTTATCCGTTGTGTTGAGCCAAGCCTGTTCTAGTCTCAAACTCTTCATGAGTGCCTTTATGTGTACTTCAGAGCCGGGGATTACAAACAGGCAGCATGCACTGATTTGCAGTTCTTAAATTGGAGACTGGAGCCTGCATTGTAAGGTCTGGTTGTGTGGATACCAGCAATTATGGTTTACCCTGAATTATAGATGCTGTTTCAGGCTATAAATCCAGGGAACTATAACTGTGAAAATTTGTGGGGTTTCTCCCAAATTATGCTCAGTAAAATAAATACAAATTAAAGATAACTCTGACTTAGGCTGGCAAGACCAACCCAAAAAGAAGATGATCTGGAACATTCCCTTTATAGCTGAGTACCAAGGGTGTCCAGTGTGTGTGTGTGTGTGTGAGTCAGCACAGGCAGGGCACAGGAACAACCACAAAACCACAGCTGACATGCAAAGAGTAAATTTATTCTTGTTACCTTGCCAGCCAGCCAGGGGATCCCTGGAGCAGCACCTGGGCAAGTGGGGACGCAGGCACCGTGGAGCTCAGTCCTTGCTAGAGGATCATCGAACCTGCTGTTAGCACCTGTTTTTAGTGGATTCGTGCAAGCGTAGTTTACCACTGTGCTTTGATCTTTCCCACAGCAGGGCAGGAATCTCAATCATGTTTGATAGGGTGCCTCTCAGTCTGTCACAGGTCTTTGTTATCTGAACACAGATGTTCTACTTGTTAAATGCACAGGAGCAGACAACAATTAAAATGATACATGTATTTTCCTATGTCCCAGCTGCAAGTCACTTGAGTGTGTTTACAATTATCCATGCCAATCTTCCGTTATTTTCCCATATTCCACCTACTTGTTCAAGGGACCACCTATGCTGAGGCTGGCAAAGCTGGAGATGTCCATTTGGACTTGTGGGATGTAGGGCAGGGTAATTTAGAGGCACACAATAAACACATACAGAAAAAGGAATAAACATATCCGTACCATAATGCTTTGAATCATCTGTCCCACTCATCCCATCAAGGAATTAATCCAGTCAGCCAGCCAGGCACCACCAGTAGATTGCTTCATTTGATGCATTATGTCCTGGAGATGTTGAATGTTGTCCTCTATGCTGGCCGATTAATCAGTTATGCTGAAGTGACACGTGCCTTCAAAATTGAAGCAGTGCTTATGATGTCGGAGGAGGAGATAGTCCACTGCCAAGGATTTTGTAATATTTTGTGGTGTATAGCTGTTACCTGCTGTGGAAAAAATAACAATGAGGAACATTAATGTAAAAACCACTTAGAATATAATTCTGTAATATAGCTACTGGGGTTGGCATGCCAATGAAACATAGAATCATAGAATAGTTTGGGTTGGAAGGGACCTTAAATATCCAATTCCAGCCCCCCTGCCATGGGCAGGGATAGCTTTAAATAGACCAGGTTGCTCAAAGCCCTGTCCAACCTGGCCTTGAACAGTTCCAGTGATGGGACATTCACAACTTCTCTGGGCAACCTGTTCCAGTGTCTCACCACCCTCACAGTGAAGAATTTCTTCCTTGCATCTAATCTAAATCTACCCTCTTTCAGTTTAAAGCTATCACCCCTTGTCATATCACTACACTCCCTGATAAAAAGTCCCTCCCCATCTTTCCTGTAGGCCCCCTTTAAGTACCAGCAGGTTGCTATAAGGTCTTTCTGGACCGTTTTTTTCTCCAGGCTGAACAACCCCGACTCTCTCAGACTTTCCTCATAGGAGAGGTGTTCCAGCCCCCTGATTATCTTTGTGGCCTCCTATGGACCCACTCGAGCAGGTCTGGGCCCATCTTATGTTGGGGGCCCCAGAGCTGGACACAGCACTCCAGGTGGGGGTCTAATGAGAGTGGAGTAGAGGGGGAGAATCACCTCCCTTGACCTGCTGGTCATGCTTCTTTTGATGCAGCCCAGGATACAGTTGGCTTCCTGGGCTGCAAGTGCACATTGCTGGGTCATGTTGAGCTTCTTGTCAATCAACACCTGCAAGTCCTTCTCTGCAGAGCTGCTCTCAATCCACTCATTGCTCAGCCTGTATTTGTGCATGGGATTGCCTTGATGCCTGTGCAGGACCTTATACTTGCAAGACCTTGCTGAACTTCAGGAGGTTTGCACAGGCCCACCCCTCAAGCCTGCAAGGTTCCTCTGGATGGCATCTCTTCCCTCCAGTGTGTTGACCGCACCACACATCTTGGTGTTGTCGGTGACCTTGCTGAGGGTACACTCGATCTCACTTTCCATGTTGCCAACAAAGATGTTAAACAGCACTGACCCCTGAGGAATACCACTCGTCACTGCTCTCCACTTGGACATCGAGCCATTGACCGCAACTCTTTGAGTGTGACCATCCAGCCAATTCCATATCCACTGAGAGGTCCATCCATCAAATCAATGTCTCCAATTTAGAGACAAGGATGTCATGTGGGACAGTCATGTGCTTCGCAGAAGTCCTGGTGGAAAACATCAGTTGCTCTTCCAATGCTGTAATCCCATTGTGGAAGGCCACCAAATTTGTCAGGCATGATTTGCCCTTAGTGAAGCCATGTTGTCTGTCACCAATCACCACCTTGTTTTCCATGTGCCCTAGCATAGTTTCCAGGAGGAGGATATGCTCCATGACCTTGCTGGGCACACTGGTGAGACTGACTGGACTGTAGTTCCCTGGGTCTTCTTCCCTTTTTAAAAATGGGGGTTATGTTTCTCCTTTCCCAGTCAGCAGGAACTTCAGACTGCAACAACTTGTCAAATATGCTGGACAGTGACTCAACCACTTCATCCACCAGTTCCCTTGGGACCTGTGCATGCATCTCATCAGGTCCCATAAAGTTGTGCACCTTCAGGTTCCTCAGATGGTTCCAAACCTGATCTGCAGTGGGTGGTTCTCCATTCTGCCAGTTCCTGCCTTTGCCTTCTGTGTCTTGGGTGGTGTGGCTGGAGCACTTGCCAGTGAAGACTGAGGCAAAAAAGTCATTGAATACCTCAGCCTTCTCCATATCCTGGGTAACAATGTCTCCTGTTTCCTTCTGAAGAGGGCCCACATTTTCCTTAGTCTTCCTTTTATCACCAACATACCTATAGAAGCTTTTCTTCTTGTCCTTGATGTCCCCAGCCAGATTTAATTCTATCAGGGCTTTAGCTTTCCTAACCTGCTCTCTGGCTGCTTGGAGAGTTTCTCTGTATTCCTCCCACGATACCTGTCCTTGCTTCCACCCTCTGTAGGCTTCTTTTTTGTGTTTGAACTTGTCCAGGAGCTCCTTGTTCATCCATGCAGGCCTCCTGGCATTTGCTCCTGAGCTTGGAAGAGGTGATCCTTGGATATTAGACAGCTTTCTTGGGACCCTCTTTCCTCCAGGGCTTTATCATGTGTTATTCTGTCAAGCAGATCCCTGAGGAAGCCAAAGACTGCTCTCCTGAAGTCTAGGGTAGTGAGCTTGTTGTGCATCCTCCTCTGTGCCCTAAGGATCTTGAGCTCCACCATTTCATGGTCACTGCAGCCAAGGCTGCCCTTGAGCTTCACACCCCCCACCAGCCCCTGGTTGCTGGTGAGAACAAGGTCCAGCAAATCACCTCTTCTCATTGGTTCCTCTATCGCTCGGAGGAGGAATTTATCAATGCACTCCAGGAACTTCCTGGATTGCTTATGCCCTGTTGTGTTGTTCCTCCAAGAGGTATTGGGGTGGTTGAAGTACCCCGTGAGGACTGGGGCTTGTGAATGTGAGTCTGCTCCTATATGTCTATAGAGGGCCTCATCTGCTTAGACTTCCTGGTTGGGTGACCTGTAAAAGACACCTGCTACAACATCATCTGTCTCTGCCTTCCCCTTAATCCTGACCCGTAAACTCTCAGTTGGCTGCTCATCCATCCCCAGGCAGAGCTCCATGCACTCCAGCTGGTGTCAACATGCTGTCAAGAGTTCTGCAGCTGTTAATCTTCTGTCAATACAAAAGGCAGATGAGTTAGTTACAGTAGAGGCCAACCAAATCCAAGTATTTACATATTGATCTCTTGAAAATGTATCCAGGGCACATGCTTGTAGTACAAGACTACAAAGCAGGACAAGCCAACTTGTGATAAAGGAGGAAAACAGGGGTGTTGTCTCCTTCCAGTAATAGACATGCTGTTACTCCAGCTCGTTCAGCTAATATTACTCTGGGTTTGATAACCTTATGTGGGGTAATTGCCCACACAGGTTGAAGAGCTATGGCTTGCACATTTTCAGATCAAACTGCAATTTGACGTTGGGTTTGCAACACCAATAGCACTTTTCCAGTGCTACCTCCTGTAGATAAGGCACTGGTATTCATTGAAGATACCTGAAGTACAAGAACTCGAGAATCTGATATCAACAGAGGATGTAAAATAAGAGGAGAAGCTGGGGTACAGAACCATACAGCATTCTCAGGGTTTATTATATGTATCTTCACATCTAGACTAATAGGTGTCCTGGTCCCACTATGCAATCTGTTGGTGTAAACAATTCCATTTCCCCTGTAGTTAATATTTTGGGAGAGAATGAGTTGTTCTAATGTTTCAGTTGTGCTATGTTGATTAGTGTATTTGGTGGATTTAGCAATAAACAGTCCTGACACTGTATGCACAGCAGTGAATACATATTGCCACCCCCTTGATGGGGGCAGGAGGGTCCATTTAATCAACCTCCCAGGTATTCAAGGCCCACTGACCCTGTTTTATCTTTCTTCATGGCCTACGTAATGCCATTAAATGTAGCTGCATACAAATAGTATGGTTATGTGCACGTGCTTTGTAAATATGTAATAGCTATTAAAAAGAAAGCATTAGGAAGATCTATCACCTCCTTCCAGGGTTGTAAATTGTTGCTGTTTTTTTTCTATAAGAGTAGCCATGTCTGGTACCATAACTGCAAGTGGGGAGGTGACTTTATTCAGTTCTCTACAGTCATTCTTCAAGTGCTGTCTGGTTTTTGAACAGGCCACATAGGATACAGCAATTTTGGGGGACTTGTCAAACCTTCATTTCTACTGGTTTGGCATTTGCTGGGTGGTTCATTGCCTTGAGGTGGAAGGTGGGTGCAGAATTAGTGGTGAGGTTAGGGGCAGTCGACTTTTTTGTGTAGATGCTAACTTTTGCCATCAGTGAAACATTTCTGATGTTGTGATCCCATGTATTTCTGATTGTGGGATACCGGCTCATACAAGATCATTCCACATTTGTTTCTTTGTCATCTGTGATGTAACTCTTCAGATTTGCTGGCTTTCATTTATTCATGACCCACACAGGTGGTCCCAAAGTCACAGCCCCAGTTTCCCCTAGGGTGTTTTCTGGGGCACCTACATTACCAGTAGAATTTGTGACTGGTGGTGCAATCAAGGGGTTTAGTAGCGCAGGTACTCCTCTCAAAAGATGCATTTTGATACTTCTCGTTACTCCTACCCTGTCTGAATTGAATCCTGTAATCAATGCATGAGCTGTTGCGGTTCTCAAAATGTTCCCAGGCACAGCAGAGTAAGGTGATAAGCAGTACAGCTAGCAGAGAAAGCAAAAAGCAGCCACTAATGATCACCAGACTCATACAGTAAGTCAAGAAAGCCCTGTGGCGAGCACAGAAGCCTGTCAATTAATAGCTAAACAGCAATAACAAGTATTAATTTGACCTAGTGCGTTCCAAGCAAACCTAGTGTTAATCTTGGTGGGCACCAAAAAGAACTGTTGAGATTTAAGCCTGGCCAGCAACCTAAACACCACACAGCCAGTCACTCAACCATTTTACAGTATCTTGCAACCCATGGCACTGCTCTGCTTGAGTAATAATTACTTCTGGTGCGATGTCTTTTGCATCTTGTAAAGCCCTGACTTCCTTTTCCAATTCCTTCATTTTACTCTGTAATGCAACAATTTCACAGTCAAGAGCTTGAAGACCAGTAACTAAGAACCATCCCAGTCTCCCTCCTTACTTGTGAGAAGAATGTGATGCCACTTTCCATGGCAATCCATGCGTAGCTGTTTCAGTTGTCTGGGAGGCAACTACTGCCCTGTCATCTATTTCAGACCATGCTTCTGGTGGAGCCAATGTAGCCAGGAAAGTGGCCATGGGGGTCCAGCGTACAGAACTGGGCTGTCCTGGAATATGAGGAGTCATCAGTGTAGCCTCTCCAGTCCCCAACTTTTTTGCCAGCCATGGCATGCTTGTTCCTGGATCCTGCTGACTGTGCCAGATGTGTGAGTCAGCACAGGCAGGGCACAGGAGCAGCCACAAAACCACAGCTGACATGCAAAGAGTAAATTTATTCTTGTTACCTCGCCAGCCAGCCAGGGGATCCCTGGAGCAGCACCCGGGCAGGGAGACACAAGTGGGGACGCAGGCACCGTGGAGCTCAGTCCTTGCTAGAGGATCATCGAACCTGCTGTTAGCACCTGTTTTTAGTGGATTCGTGCAAGCGTAGTTTACCACTGTGCTTTGATCTTTCCCACAGCAGGGCAGGAATCTCAATCATGTTTGATAGGGTGCCTCTCAGTCTGTCACAGGTCTTTGTTATCTGAACACAGATGTTCTACTTGTTAAATGCACAGGAGCAGACAACAATTAAAATGATACATGTATTTTCCTATGTCCCATCTGCAAGTCACTTGAGTGTGTTTACAATTATCCATGCCAATCTTCTGTTATTTTCCCACCGTGTGTTTGCCTGTGTCCTGCCCACAGGCTAGGTGGGCAAGCGTGTGCAAGCATGGAGAATTGCCGTGTCCTCATTGTAAGTAACTGCTGTGTGTTTTGGGTTCAGCAGTTCTTATACTGACTGTCTTGCCATTTCAGGGATCATCCATGCATCAGGTGGACTGGTGGTGGCTGCAGGCGGATCCCTATCTTGGTGTTCCACGCTGAAGCCATTCTGACAAAGGACAGCTATCTCCGCCTAATTGGAGGTGGGTGCAACTGTGTGCCAGCTTTTGGCCTGAAGGCATGAGGTAGAAGTCTCTTACCTGGGTGTTCCCTTCTCTTTGTGGTGGGGAAGAGGATGTGGTGGGAGGGAACCAAGATGTTCAGAAATGTTTGAGCAGTTGTTGAATGTTTGTAACATCTTTGGGTTGTGACAGGTGTCTATATTTGTCTCTCCATTGGGTCTTGATGTGTTTTGAGTTGGAATTGTCTGCCTGCAAGTCAAACTTGGAGGCCGTGCTAGAACTTATGACCAGAATATAAATTTACTACGCTGTAGTTAGGAACTTAAAATCAATCACTGCAATGAGTTTTGAGAGAGTTTCACTGGGAAATAAAACAGCCAGCCCCACAGTGGTAAGAACCGTAGTAAACTGTAGTAAGAAATCTTTGCATCTACAGCCTCACAACTGTGAGTAAGGCCATAAGCAAAATGATTGCTGCTCTGGCAGCACTTGAGTCAGGAGAGCAAGCCTGTCTAGTGCCAAATAAGGGAGAGCCTCTAAGTAAGAGGCAGAGCTGTTATAAGCAGTCACTCTGGATTGTGAGAGTTAGTACTTGCAGGTGTGTATAGCTGGTAACTCATTCTGGATGTGCTGAGTTGGAGAAAAGCTAAAATCTACTCAGCTTTTTGTGAAAATGCTGACACTTCTTTCTTGTCTTGCTTCTCTCTTTGTTAGGTAATTGGTGCCCTCATTTCTAATATCCTGTCAAAGCAGAAATGCTTCTGGCTCATTGGGGTAAGGGGTAGAGAAGGTGATTTGTGTGTGGGAACTCCTGATCCTTTTCATGTGAGTTAAAAACATACTTGAATGGTGGCAGAAGCTGATGGTAATTGTAACTTGTATCTTAACTGGAGTGTGGTGTCTCTTCTGCGTTTTCTCAGGAGGTAGAGGCTTTTCATGGTTCCACAAGTCTACTGCTGAATAGTGCAATTTGTTAAATTTCCTTGAGCTTTGTCCAGTCGCAGATTATGGTACTTCTTACTCTTTTCTTTAGACTTATTTTTACTGGTAGAACGTATTTCCTGAGGTTTAATCTAATCTTCATCTTTTTATTCTCAGTTTGAACCAATTTGTAAAGTGCCTTTTCCAAGTGATTCTGTATTCTAGCTTTGCAATTTCTGCCTCCTTTCTTTGAACTCTTTTATGGATTGCCACATCCTTTTGTATGACAACTGGCCTCAAGTCTTACTACTTGCTTTCTGTTTATTTTATACCTCCAGTGCTGCTTACTGCTTTTGTTTTTATGACTTTCTGCTTGGACAGTGGTTATCTCTTTTTCTTTCCTTGTTTTATTTACTTTATCTGTTATTTTTTGCAGTTATTTATTGGAAGATCAGTACAGGTGAATGAGATGTGAACAAAAATTCAGTGTTTTATTTCGGATTTTCAAGATCTAAGAAGTGATCACAGAAGCTAGTCATGTCAATGAGGGGCATATGGCATGGTTACTTTTAGCTAGGAATACCAATCTTCAGTAGAGAAGAATGAACTGAAATCAAGTTTGGAGTGTTATAAAACAGTCTATATAAAGAGCTTTTTAAAAAATAATAATCTGGGCATTTGTTAGTATGTCCTGTGTTTTATTTTGATACAAAAGGGTTCAATGATGCAGCAATATTATGCCTAAGGATTGGTGTAGGTCAGTTCTGTGCCATCATTGGAGTTAATGCCCCGAGAGATGAACAGGCATTTCCTGTCATCCTTTGCCTGTTATGTGCTGCTACTCTGTGGATACTCCACTGTGGATTAAGTGCAGCTGTACTGTGCTGAGTCCTATGGTGCTTTTCTCTCTCCTTTGGTAGCATAGGTAACCTTGATTTATTCTTCTAGTTGCAGACTCTAATATCATCTCTCTCGTTCTCTTAACAGAGCGCTACCACTTGTCCTATAAGATTGTGCGAACAGACAGCCGTCTGGTTCGAAGCATTCTGGCTGCCCACGGATTCCATGAGGTGAGTGCAACGAACTTCAAATCTGGTTATGTGCTGGACTGGGAGGTAGTGATGATGATGATGACTATTGTGTTTTCGAGGGTTTTGTGTGTGTTTTGTGGTTGTTCTGGATTTTTTTTTTCTTTTCACTCTGCAGGGTTAGAACCAGGAAGTTGCTGTGGACCTTGAGGGTTTTTTTGACATATTCAGCTAGTCAGACAGGAAATATGTTGTGATCTTGTTCTTTCAAAGGAGGAGTACCGTTTAGCCTTAAGCCTGCAAAATTAGGGAAAAGGGGATGCTGAAGTTGGGTCATATGTTTTTTCTCTTCTTGCTTTTAAAGCATCATCTCACACCCTTGGAAAGGTCTGAAGAATTTAAATCTCTCAGCCTTTGTGAGCTCACAGAAGCATTGATGTAATGTTTCACATTTCTCTTCTAGCACCTTTCTTGCTCTAAAGAATGTCTTATATGCAGCTAATGACAGTTTGAGAGAGGTGTGTGTATGGTGGATTTTCTTCTGCATAGCACCAAGTTAAGGGATTGGTCTCACAAGTTTCCTGAAGGAGTCTAAAACACTTTACAAATTGGGTTTAAAGAGTCTATAAAAAGAACAAAACACCAAGTTTGTTTAGAAAAATATGACATGATTATATCCCAGCACCACTGTACAGTGGCTTAGGACAGGAGTCTGGCTAGAGTTGCCCTAATATTAAAGAGTGTAGTAGAGGAGATTGTCTTCAACTAGAATTGCTTTGGTCTCATAGACATAAGGTCACAGTCTGCAGGAAAAATGGTGGTCCTTTTCAATGGTTCTGTGTTTTTATGTGTGTGGTGTTTTTATGTTGCTTTTTAGGTGCACCCTAATAGCAGCGATTATAATCTCATGTGGACAGGATCACACTTGAAGCCCTACCTGCTGCGTTCCCTTACAGATATTCAAAAAGTCAATCATTTCCCTAGGTAAGGCCTTGATATCATATTTAGCTGAACATCTTTGTGATGGTTTGCAAAAATCTGAACATAGATAGCTCTAAAAAGAATAGAGTATACATGATACTGTAAAGTCCCAATGCACTGGGCCTGTGCCACATGCTGTCTTCATTCTAAATGGTCTTTGGGGTTTTGGGGGGATAGTATGTGAGTTGAAGTTCTTGTCTGTAGTCCAAATACTGGATTTTTAGATCTTTTTTTTTTTCTTTATTTGATAAGTAAAGTATTCGGGGCTTTGGGCTCTTAGTCACAGAGATAGTCATATGTCACCTGCTGAAGTTCACAAACACCATTATAACAGCTCGCTGTGTTTTAGTTTGTCTTGGGAAGTGCAAGAGGTACTACAAATGAGGATGGATATTAATATGGCCATAGGACAGGGACAGTAAAACTGAAGAGTAGTTGCAGGTTAGGGTTAGATGTTAGGCATCAGACAGGGCTACAGATGCTTTGGTAACTAGAATAAAGGGTTGCTGTAGGTTTTTTTTATGTTGGGAAAAGTAGATACAGTGTCTTGTTTTGGAACTTCAGGTCGTATGAGCTGACACGAAAGGACAGACTATACAAGAACATCAGTCGTATGCAGCTGGCCCATGGATTCAAGACGTTCCATATCTTACCTCAGACCTTCATCCTGCCGACAGAATACCAGGACTTCTGCAGTAAGTGAATGGCTGATGATGCCCAGACCTAAAGCAAAAAAGCTAGGTGGAGGGAAGGGATTTACTTCTAATATTCCATCCTGTTGATCATGCCAGTTGTTAAGACAGCAAAATTAGAGGGAGCTGGAAAGACAATGGAAAAGGTCTACATGATTTCATTATATAATTTCTACTCTGCTGTTTACTCCATGCCTGCATAAGTCCTCAGGAAGCTGATACGGGGTTAAGGCTCCAGAACTGAGACTTTTTTTGTGCACAGTGTTGTTGATCATCAACTTCACAATATCCCTGACTAATATCTGGGAGTACTGAAGCAAGAAGTGCCAAAGTGTTGGAGGCATTGGGCAGAGAAATAAATCTATCGGAGCAGCAGGAGGGGCTTCAGGGAGGGGCCATAATAAGTGCAGTGAGTCCCAAGGGGTAAAATAGGACATCAAAACAGTAGACTTTTACCTCCTCATGGAGTTTTCTAAAGCTTTTACTGTAGACAACGTTCCTGATTCTTGCTCCACTGCAAATAAGCAAAATGGAATATGCTTCAGACTTGTGCTGGTTTTTTTTTTCACCAGATACCTATTCTAAGGACAGAGGCCCATGGATAGTGAAGCCTGTAGCCTCTTCCAGGGGTCGAGGTGTCTACCTGGTAAACAATGTAAGTGTACAGCAAAAGGACTGTTCTTCAATAACACTGGCTGCAAAACTATGCCAGCTTCCAGGTGAGGGGCATAGAAACGTCTAAGCAGATACTGTCCCTACTCTGGATTTCAGTCATACATTGGTGAACTGTTCAACAGTCCTGAGCAGCTGACAAAGCCTGCTTGGGCCTATGCTGCATAACCAAAAGCAATATATTTCTTTGTATACTGTGCTTATCTTGCAACCTACTATCAAGTCTTAGCTTATTAGGAGCAAGTTCATGCTCCCTGAGACAGTTTGGAAAGCAGTGCTGCTTCGTGCTCTGCTTGTGGCTGACAGTAGGCTGGCCTTGGGAAGATTCCCAGAACTCTCCTTAGTTGATTCCCTGTGCGTGCTAAACAGTCTTCAAACAGTCCCCTTGTCTCCATCTTCCCCCTGGAAAGGACCAGTTAAAATGAAACCTTATGTGATACAGTAGCATGTGTATCAGTCTTCGAGCTGTGTTATCCAAATGCCAGTGTGCCCTTACTGAGGTGGAAAGGGGATGGTTCTTTGAATTCAGTGTGCTGGTTATAGTGTCTGTTGCCTGTTTTGGACTTTGCAGGGAGTTAGGTTGTCACAGGTAACAAATGTATTCGGGCAGGTGCCAAACACACGAGGGGATTCCAATAAATGTTCTCAGCAGCGAAAGTGACTGGTGAGTCATTTTATTTTTACTCACTCAAACCTCTTTAGCCTCCCCTGCACTGAAGGGGTCATGCTGCCTCATCTGTTCTCTACTTGGATCATTTCCCATAAAATAAGGGAGCAATTGGCCAAGTGTATGAGGTAAGTATTTCCAGAGCTGCATTCAGCTTTTTCTTTGCTTGAAAGAGAGGAATGAGCTCAGGCTTATATGGCAATTGGCCATGAACTGGGGAAAAGACCCTTCTGGGACCAGTCTCCCTTTGTGTATATCTATTCCAGAAACACTTCAGCTAGTTTGGTCCAAAGATTTCAGTTTCCTTCAGTGTGATGCCACTAAGGGAGTGTCTTCTAGAATCTCATCACAAAAGTGTTTAAAAACAACAACAAAAAACCCCCAACAGAACAACAAACCTTTGCATTTCTCTGATTGGTAATAAAACAGGCTCTCACTTTTGTGGATGTGCTGAGGGAAGTTGCGCTTGTTCCCTCATACTGTATATGTATACTCTATATGTCTAGGCTTTCCTGCTTATGCTGGTGATACGGCTGAATACATACAACACTGAATAAAGGCAGGATAATGGGGTTCTCTTGGCTCTTTTGCAAACTGAAGGCAAGAAAATGTTTTGCAATAAGCTGTTTGTATGAGCAGTTAAAACTGGTTGCAAGAGAGTCTTGCATACAGCAAAAAGTAAAAGCTTTTTCAACAGGTCCCATGACTTTGTGATGTATATTTGTTATAGATAGAGCTTTCTGTTCTGAGCTACAAGGGTAGTGTCTTCCTGGTACAGTAGTCCCTGCTGTGAACTGAATGTCAGTAGAAGGTATTTACTCCTGTAGGCAAAAAGGTTGGATACCAGCCCAGGATCCTAGCTATAAAGATCACAAATTGAGAAGTCATTTTGTTCACTTGTGACTTCCTCACCAACTGTAGTTACATACTCTTTCCAGTATCTTTTAAAACCTTACTCCACGTGTTTGGTTAAACACTTGAGAAGCAAACAGAATGACAGTCACTTTTAGATGTGATTTTTTCCTGCCTATTTTACATCATTGCCATGTGGCTGTTAAATCTGCATTCTACTCTAAAGAGCATTTATCTGGAAGATTCAGTTGGCAGTTTTTTTGTCAAGGAAATCATTCCCCAGCTTCTGGCTAGAGTTTAATTACCTTTAGTATGTTGTGAATGGCAGTGTTGTTTTTTATATTTTGTTTTTGTTTCCTCCCTCCCCAGACATAGTTGTTGGTACAGAGTGTCTTTAGGAGGGGAAGGCTGGAAAAAACGGTGGGTTTGATCTAGTCATCTTCCTATTCCTTAAGCCTCCTGTTTTTTCACTCTTGGATTCTCTGTTCTTCTGTAGCCCAACCAGATTGTCCTGGAAGACAACATCCTCGTTTCTCGTTACATCAGCAACCCCCTGCTCATAGATGGTGAGTGTGCTTAGGAATTGCTTTTCGCTTTTCCCCCACCCCCACACCTGGGGATCTCTGCAACCTTTGCAGGAATTAAGTTGAATAATTGAGCGGTCTATCTTCCTCTAGTACTGGAAAAATGTAACTAGAGAATTCCTTAAAATCTGGAAGTTTGTAAACTGGGAAAGCTTCAGACACCTATGTCAGTAGCAGATAATGGTTTATTGCTCTCGCAGTCTGTTGACATTCCTCAACTGTATGATGTCTGAAAGATACTTGCATTTACTGACTCTTGACAACTGCATTTCAGATTTCAAATTCGATGTGCGCCTCTATGTTCTGGTTACTTCCTATGATCCACTTGTCATCTATCTCTACGAGGAAGGATTGGCCAGGTAGGGGAGGTTTCTTATTTCTCAGTGTTACCTGCACTTGGTGATCCAGAGATGTCTTGGCTTGCATCTGTACTCCTTACACAAGAGCAGATGAGGGAAGTGCCAGTTAGGGAGTTCTGCAGAGTTTAAATATATGATACTTCATCATGCTGTGTCCCATCAGTTTTCTTTATATAGATCTTTAGTGAGGTACTTTATTACACATGTAATAACTAAAGCGAGTTTCCAACTCTCAAAGGTTGAATGGCCACACACACCGTCATTGGCATGTTCAATCTCAAGACCGGGTTCTTCTTGAAACCTCTTTAGACTCTTGGTGCCTTTGTGCCCCTCCTTCATCCTCCAAGGTGAAGGGAATCTAAACTTGCTCAATTTCTGTGTAATCCTAAAGACAAAAGCAGTTGGAGACCTGTTGTTGGCTGTATTGGCCTTTGTTTTAATACTTTCAACTGCTCTTCTAAATTTCAGATCACTATTTGTGTTTTCTACAGTATTGAGTATGTGGGTTTAGACTAGTTCACTGTTGTCACATTGCAAGATGTCAATTTTCTTTTGCATGTAAGTCACAAAAGATACTTAATATTTCCAGTGGAAACATTTATCTACCAAAACAATACCTGTTTCTCTTCATCACAGATTTTTAGCTAAATACCCAACTATAGTAACCAATAAATTTGAAATAATCACCCCTCTGAATTTCCAACGGATGAGAAACTTAACTGTAGTGGTGTTTGAGAATAAAGCATCATGGGACTGTCTTTTGCAACAGTTTTAAGCAATGCTGAATCTGCTATTGTATAATGTTATATGTATAAGTGCATCTGATGTACCCAGAAAGAATATCTCCAGGGTTAAAGTCTTCATGGCTCTGACTTAGGCAGATACTGAATCCAACTTACCTTTATCCAAAGCAGATACTGAATCCAAAAGGATATACTAATAATGATCCCACAAGAAATACCCTTCTTTAAATTGATGAACAGATTCCCTTCAGATGTGTTGTGATGTGCCTGCAAAGATAATGTCAACAGGTTGTTTCCCTAAAGAGGGTCAGGAAGAGGTAGCTCATCTTGGTCAGTGGAAAACTTGACAACTATATTCACTTTAGAAGAGAAGCTTTAAATATGCCTGGCATGCAAGACTCTTGGGAATCAGCCATTAAATTGTTAGTTGCTAATATTGCATATTTTTGGGAAGTGAAGAGGGAAACGAGATCATTAATTGCAAATATATGAGTAGATTGCTAGGATGTTCTGAAAATGGGCAGTGCATGACAGGCCTCCAGAATAGTATTTGCACCATCATTAATGTATTAAAGGTAGTTCTGCTGATCTTGTAACAAAGGAGTTTACTTCTGGAAAAATCCATCTGTATAAGGGACAAATGTTCCACTCTGTTTGGGGGCAAGTGCACCAGTTCCACAATAGATGGCATTTTTGTCTCTGACAGCAGAGTAACATGTTTTGCTTGGGGGGGGAAGTGTTTTTCTTTTAACAATCCTAGTTGTATTAGAGGTCTAGGGAAGGAAGTGAGGAAGGAAACAAGTGTGTTCTTTTCACTGAAATACACTAGTCAGACAGTTCTAGTGAATTCCTTAAGAAAGAATCATTGAATTATTTAGGTGGGAAGGGAAGTCCGGAGGATTTTAGTCCAACCTTCTTCTCAAGACAAGATCTTCTTCAATGTTTGGGCAGGTGCTCTATGGCCTTATACCATAAAGTTTTGAGTATCTTCCAAGAATGGCGATTCCATAGTTTTTTCTGACAACCTGTTCCACTGTCTGACCATTCTCATGTGAATGTGTGTGCATGTGTTGCATCTAATCAAAACTTCCCTTGTTGCAGTTTCACTGTTGCCTCTTGTCCTTCTGATATGCACCTTTGAGAAAAGTCTGTCTTTACAACCATACTTTAAGGAGTTGAGTACAGCAGTTAGATCTGTTCATAGCCTTCTTATCTGCAGGCTAGACAATCCTTTTCTCCTCACCTTCTTGTATATCGTGTTTTTCAGACCATTTTAATAGCTCCCTGCCAGACTTGCACCACTTAGTCAATACTTCTACTTGTACTGGGGGGCTCATAGCTGGACATGATGTTCCAGATGTATGTTCAGTGCTTGCTAAGCATCTAAACATGTGTTTAGATTCCATTTGTTTAAACTATAATCAAATCTAGAGCACGTGTGTCCACATACATGACAAGTGGAACATATGTGTACAGGACACCACAGTATCATAATGGTAATTATCCTTTCTTTCAAATTGCATCCCATCTTGCAGCTCTCTCTGAAAGTTAGCTAGTATATGGAGACTCACTGTAGCACTAGGTATCTTAGTGCTGCTCAGTGATATGGTCATCTGTACTGATCCATCTGTGGGACTGGTGTAGAGAGAATAATGCGATGTTATCTCTGGTCCAAGGACAGTTCTGACTCTGGAGAGTAACTCTAGTTCCGTTACTGAACTTCAACTGCCCACTGAGCAATTTCAGCTGTAGTGTCAGCAATGGCTAAAGGCTTATAGCAAGACTTGTAGTTGAATGCGTTCATGTGATAGGTATAAATTTATTGCAACCAATATCTTCAATTGCTCTTAAACTTTTCCCTTCTTCTATGGCTGTAGAGTTGGTATGTTTGTGCAGCGGGTGCTGGCAAGCTCTCTGGAGGACAACGCTCAAGCATGAGCAGAGGTTGATGGAAAACTTTAGGTGGGCTGTTCTGTATGGCCTCCAGATGGCACTAGTGGTCTGTAGCGATTTGGATTTTTCTCATACCCTGGATTTGCAAATGCAGTTGGTGAGATGTAAGGAACCTGGAGCTACTGGGTTCTGGCTTCCTAGTTAGTTTTTTTGCCTTCCATTTAATTGTGTGAATTAAGTGCTGGGAGAGACCCTTTTATTGCTTCACACAGTGTAATGCTTTGGTTTAAAGGTCAGACAAAACTTCTGCTGTGCGGGGAGGGGGAAACGCTCTAACCTTTGGGAGTAGAAGCTGGTTTTTATTCTTTATTTGAGAAAAAAAGCGCTGCACTGCTTAAGAGTGGAAGCAATTGGTAGCAGAGGACTGGGAGGTAAGATCAGGGCCTGGAATCAAAGGTGATATTGAACCAATCTAAAAGGAAACCCACCAGCAAAACAAAGGAATCTGTTTTGAGACCTCCACTAGTGCTTGTAGTGCATTATGGTGACTTCTGTGTTTTGAGTTTGCTTTCTGAAGGCAGGTAGTCTTTGAAGTGTAGTTAGGGTGACCTCTTCTGGGTTTTTCTCTTCATTTTCTTTTTCCCTTTTTCTTAGTCTGTCTGAAAGGTAGTGTTCCCCTCCAGTGTTATCCTTTGCATATTCCAAGTAGAAGAGGAACCTGGCTGTTCCAGTAAAGTTGATAACTAGAAGAAAAGGAGTGCTATCAGGAAACCATAAGATATAATGATCTTTAAAAGGAACAGACTTGGTGCAATGCACATTTGTGGTGTTTGACTAGATATTTCCTTAGGCCTGGTTTCTCTTGGCACAGCTAGACTTGTCATGACATGATCTAGAGTGAAATTTGAGGCTTCAGTGCTGAGGAGAAAGAAAGGGATTATGGATCCAGCATATGTAACTTGCATTTCACTTTCCATGTGGAAGAGTGAAGAAAAAGTTCCCTTTGAAGGAGGTGTGAAGGATATGTACCCAGAGGTATGTAACAAAGCCTTCAGCTACTGTTGCTTGATTTGCGCTGGAAGTACCAAGTAACTGTTTGGTTTGCCCTGGCCTTCTTTTATCCCAATGCAATTTTTCAGGAAGATACTGACCTTGAAGCTTTTTTTTTTTTGTTTATCCTTTAAAAGAATATTGAGTAGAACTTTGGAAGTGCTGATGTTGAGTAGGTTCCTTTTGTAGCTATTTCCACTCCATTCCCTGTGGAATAAGCTGTATTATGCAGGGACAGAGCCCTAGGTCAGCAGGGTCAGGTATCAGATTTCTGGAGAGTTACTAAGAATGGTATTGGTGAATGTGTTCTGTTTTCATCTTTCATTACAATACTACATTTCTGGTCTTGCCTCCCTAAAACTCTATCAAACCTCATCTTCCTTCAGTCTGGTCTACCTCTAGAAGGAATGCTGCTAATAGATTCATTTGGGGATATTCAGTGATCTGTTTGGAGGGGGTGGGATGTTTTTTTTTTTTCCTCTTTCTCGAGGCTTGAAACAAGACTGAAGCTGTGCTTAAGGCATAAAGCAGCACTGGGTGACTTAAGATCCTTGTCTATTGGATTGAAAAATGTGGTGTCAAACACTTTTCTAGTGCATATTTAAAAAAAAAAAAAGTAGCCAAAGTATGCTGCCATACATCTGTTAAATTGGCAGATATATAGTAACTTGGTGCCGGAGAGGACAATTATCATCTAGATTGGCCATCTGTGATTCACAGCCTGGAAAACCATAGCTGGGACCTTTGCATCAAAGGTACAGGTTTGGAGAATGAGATGGTCTTGGCAAGCTTGGTCCAGGTTTGCCTGAGGGTATAACTTAAGCCTGAGACTTCCAAAATATGTGATGGAATATATTTATTGACATACCTTTTATAACCTAATATGAATAAGAGGAATATTGTTAATAAACTGCAATCTTAATTACAACTTTGACATGCTTTTGAAGGTGACTTACCAAGGCCAGTTATGTGTCAGTCCCAAGGCTGCTCCTATAGCCAACTGTTGAATTGGTGGATAATGCTGATTTTTGGAGGGGCATCCATGCAAGGAGAGAATAACAAGCCTGATTTGTCACTGAAGCACAGCTGAAGAGGACATGGGGCCAGCAATAGCTTGTGCTTTTGGTGAGCCTTCCCCATTTTGCCAAGTAGGGATGCTTCTCTCTCTCCCCCATCTGACTTTCTCTCCTTTTGTGTACCTCCTTGTGGGACAGAAATGGTGTGGAGAATTCATAGTGAAATGGCTCCTTGTTTTGTAGAGACTTCTCTATAGCCTACTTTTGCCTAAACTACCAGATTTAGGCAGCCTTATTT